CTGGACAAGCAGGAGTGTCAAATGAGGCAAAACAGGAAAAGAGTATTGGAAAAAAAAATGGGGCAAAGAGACACAAAAATACACGTTACTGAGATTTTAAAAAAGATACAGAACACAGCTGGACAAGAGAAGCAGCATATAGAGAAATTGCGTGTGAAAATGCTTATTGCTGAAGAACTTGCTGAAAAACAGCTGAATTAAGCTAAAACGTGCTGAAATGTAGCTGAAAAGGAAGAACAAGCCTGAGTTGGCAGAAGAAAGCAAAAAGAACACATATTTGCTGAATTTGGTTTAAAGAAGCAGAAATGTGCACAAAAAATAGTAAAAGCTGAAATTAGAAAAAAAAAAAGAGTTGAAAAGTAGCCGAAAAGGTATAAAGAAGCTTAAATTACCAGAGGGAAGTGAAGAGAGCACAATTGTGCCCAATTAGACTGAAAGAAGCAGAAATGAGCACAAAAAAGTGGAAATTATCTGATAAAAGCTGAAATTAGCAAAAGACAGCTGAAAAATAGCTAAAATAGCAAAAAGAAGCTTAAATTGGCAAAAATAAGTGGAGAGAGCACATTTTTGCTAAATTAGGCTGAAAAAAAAAAGCTTAAATGACTGCAAAAGCTTTGAAATTAGCTGAAAAAGATAAAATGAGCATAAAACAGCTAAATAGTAGCTGAAATTAGTGAAACTAGCATAACTAAACTGAAAGGAGCATAACAAGCTGAAATTAGCTGAAAGACGTTAATTACGCTGCAAGTAGCAGAAATTACCATGAAAAACAAGAGTTTATCTGAAAACAGCTGAAATTAGCTACAAAATGCTAACAAGTTAGCTGAAAAGGTAGAACGAGCTTCAATTAGCAGAAGAAAGTATGAACATATGATGCCCAGTTAGGCTGAAAGAAGCAGAAAAGAGCAAAAGAAAAGTAGAAATTATCTGGGGAAGAAAAAAAAAAACTGAAATTAACAACAACAACAAAAAAAAAGCTGAAAAGTCGCTAAAAAGCTGAAAGAAGCTTAAATTACCAGAAGGAAGTGGAGTGAGCACATTTTTACTGAATTAGGCAAATAAAAGTTTAAATGAGTACAAAATATGTGGAATTAACTGATAAAGCTAAAACAGGCATAAAACAGCTAAATAGTAGCTGAAATAGCAGCAAATGCTGAAATATGCATAAATAAGCAGAAAAGAGCATAAGAAGCTGAAATTAGCAGAAAGAAGTTAAAAGAAGCTCAAAAATGTTGTAGTTAGCAGAAAGAATTTGAAAGAAGCACAAAACAGCTGAAAAACAGCTGAAAATAGCTGGAAAAAAGTTTAAATTTGCACGAGGAAGCTGAAAGAAGCTGAACCAGAACAAAATGTGAAAGGAGCAGGAAAAGGTTGTAAACAGATCTAAAGATGTGAAGGATGTAAAATGAGCTCAGTTCATTTTCTATCAGAAAAAAGTGGCAGAAAAAGCTAAATATTTAAAAAAGCTAAAGTTGAACCAATATCAAAAGTCACAGCACCCTTTTCTTGAACGAGCTGAACGTTTTGATGTACAGTAGCACAGAAATCGTGGAAGGAGAAAAGATGCTGAAAAACGTAGAGAAGAAAAATGGCTCACAAAAGAGTGAAGGCTTCATAAACGTTCACACAATTAAAGAACAAAATGAACCCGAATGATGAGTCAAAATGAAATCGTAAAACAGGAGAACAAATCCAAAGCAGGGACTCCGTCTTTTCAGACAACAAAACAAAGACGAGAATGGAAGAAAACGACAAGAAAAAGGACAATAAGACAAAGGTTCATCGCAGGCCGTGGGACACGGACGGCAGGACTCAGCTGGAGACGATCACTGATCCGATCACTGTCTTCACCGATGTGTCGAGACATAAACCTGCTTATATTAACGTGATACAGACGGCACAAAAACTATACGAAGTCCTCACAACATTCATTAAATAAAGTTGTTTAAATAAAAACAAACTAATACAGAAACTCTGATTTAATAATAGTTTATTTCTTCCTCTAAGTTTATTATGTAATAAGCAGCTTTTACTCAATAAATAACAAATACTTGTTTACGTGGTAAACATCCTGACCAAATGCCGGTATTTATAGTTTACACTTGGAAAAACACGCTGCGTTTACTATAAGTGCATCAGTTTAATTTACCTCATCTACAGGAACTAAATTTAAACCTCACCTGAGCTATAATCACATCCAGGGTCAGACTGGGAGCTGAGACGCTCCCAGTCCATGAAAACACACCCCTGTCGTTTGGGTGTGCTGATGGTGCTGATAAACAGGCCGCTGTGCCTGCTCTTTATTAGATTGGACTGCTTTTATCCACCGGCACACACCCGAACCGAGCCTGCGTCCATCAATCTGTGAGCGCGTGCGTCAGAGGAGGAGAGACTGACGCCGTTTGAATTTAGGAGAAACGTTGCAGGAGCAGTAATGAGTTGGAGATGCTTTACCGTGCCTGCCAGGAGAGAGAGCGCTAAAGTTCGGCCTTTTTTCAGTTTCACATGAGCAAAATAATCTTAAACTAGCCTTTCAAGAGGAGGGCTGAATTTATTTTCTGTGGAAAAGAATAAATGTTTGTTTAATTGTGTTTTCATTATTGTGTGAATGTTTATGAAGCAGTCACACAATTATGATCCGTTTTTCGACGCGATTCTCGTCCCGCAGGTTTCAAGCTCTTTCAAAACGTTCAGCTCTTTCAGGACAATCCTGATATGACTTTTTGTTTTGGTGCAACTTTAGCTTTTTGAAATATTTAGCCTTTTCTGACATTTTTTCCTCCTAGAAAATGAATTGAGCTCGTTTTACATTCTTCAAATCTTTAGATCTGTTTTCAGCTCCTTTCACATTTTGTTCAGGTTCAGCTTCTTTCAGATTCCTTGTGCAAAAAAACAACAACAAAAAATCAGCTACTTTCAGCTAATTTCAGCTGTTTTTTTCAGCTGTTTTGTGCTCCTTTCAGCTTTTTTCTGCTAACTATAACACTTGTGTGCTGTTTCTAAATTTTTTCTGCTAATTTCAGCTAATTTCTGCACGTTTCAGCTTTATCTGCTGTACTGTATAGATGTTTTTAGGCTAATTTTAGCTTTTTCAGCTAATTCCACGTTTTTTTAAGTCATTTAAACTTTTTTCAGCCTAATTAAGCAACATGTGCTTTCTCCACTTTCTACTGGTATTTTAAGTTTCTTCTTTTTTAACTACCGGTACTTTTCAGCTATTTTTTTTTTCTAATTTCAGCTGTTTTTCAGATAATTTCCACTTTTTTGTGCTCATTTCTGCTTCTTTCAGCGACCGCGTTATTTTTGCTTTCTTCAGGTAATTCGGCTTGTTTAACATTTCAGCTACTTTTTCTTAGCATATTTAGCTAATTGTAGCTGTTTTAAGATAAATTCTAGTTTTTCATGGTAATTTTTGCTGCTTTCAACCGAATTCACTTCTTTCTGCTAATTTCAGCTTTTTATGCTCCTTTCAGCTTTGTTCTGCTAGTTTCAGCTTTTTCTGCTATTTCAACTACGTTTTAGCTGTTTTGTGCTAATTTGAGCTTTTTCAGCTACTTCCACTTTTTTTTTTTTTTTTTAGCTCATTTCAGCTCTTGCCTTCTGGTTAAGCTTCTTTCTGCCTTTTCAGCTACTTTTCAGCTATGTTTTTGTTAATATCAGCTTTTTTAAATCTAATTACCAAATTTTTGTGCTAATTTCTGCTCATTTAAATCTAATTCTGCAAATATGTGTTCGTTATGCTATCTTCTGATAACTTTTAAGCTTGTTCTTTCATTTCAGCTACATTTCAACTTGTTTTTAGTTGATATCGGCTGTTTTTCAGTAAGTTCTTCTGTAATAAGCATTCACACTGCATTTTTGCAGGAAATGTACTTTCTCTAGTTTGAAGCAAGTACTCAGTGGCTCTAACATTTAAAAAAAAAACTTAAGCTAAACGGTTATAATCAGCCGAAATGAGCTTCCTTAAGGCGGGAGGACTCGGACTTAGAGATTGACTGAGGAGCTCCGTCATCCGGGGGAGCTGCTGCTCCTTCACATCGAAAGGAGTCAATTGAGGTGGTGCATCTGTTAAAGATGTCTTCTGCCTCCATTTAGAGCTTTTCCAGGCACGTCCTACTGGTAAGAGGTCCCGGGTCAGACCCAGAACTCGCTGGAGGGATTATATATCCTCTCTGGCCTGTGGCCTGACTACGGATAAGAGGAAGAAGACTGAGATGAAGGCGAACTGGTTTCTACTCGTGGAACCCATTTAGCTCAGGGGAAAAAAAATCATCCAAGTTTTAAATCATGCCATAACAAGGATTTGGTTTATTTAACTATGTGAAACTTTACTTTGGTACAAGTTTAAATAATATATGTGTTTAATCATAAAAATGTATGCACAATACAGTCTGGAAACATCTTCCTTCATGCTTCAGTTTGGGGCAATATTTTCTTCTTCTTTTTTCTGAATGAAATCTATATTTTGAGCAAACTATGGAGTAACTGAGAAGCAGTGGTTTAATGAATGTGAGGTTCTGGTACAAAAACGGAATTAATTTCTGCCAGACTGGAATTCAGTTCACAGAATAATTAAAAAAATATATGTTTTAACGGTTCACATTGCTCATGTTGCAGGTGCTGAATATTTATTTGTAATATTCTCATAAAAACCTAAAATCTGGAGCTTTGACTGTTTTTCAATTTATGGTTGTTCCCACCCTCCCAGCTGAAACCTGAGATCCCCCTTTCGCCTCTTGGACATATTTTTAGTCACATTCTTGGTTTCTGTCAGTTTGTTGGACTTAAATCAACAAAAGCAACAACTGAGTTCAATCATCATGTTGTTTTTAACTTAAACACACACAAATTGCTGTCATTAAAATAAATACTTGCACAAATTAAAAAAAGAAACAAACAGTGAGTGAGCCATATAGCTGCAGCACATGTTTCTGAAGATTTTTATTTTAAAATGGCGATGAGAAACTTTTGTAACAGGCGCATGTGGCGTCTCTCTGCAGGAGTGATGGGAAAGGTAGAGATGGACGAGCTGGGAGACAGAGAGATGGACTTTGCTTTGTGGGACATGACGGATGTGGTCTCTGGAGAGTTTCAGGTAAAATACAGACTTGTGATGTCATCAATGATTTTTATAAAACGACAAAATGTTCAGTTTTACTCTTTTCAACTCATGAGAGCCTCATAACTGAGATATCTTCCTCACATTCTGCTTTTGGAAACTCTAGGAACCACAAGTAAACCTGAGAGCAAAGTGCTCTGTTGAGAAAATATGTAACAATAAAATCTCTAATATATGATGGATCTAGGTTGTTGAGGGCTTTGTAGGTTAGAAGTAGGATTTTGAGTTCAATTCCGAATTCTGTTTTAAAATATCAAATTTAAAACCTGACACGATTTAGAAAATGTTCAGAAGGAGTGACCTAAAATAAGATTCACCTTTAGATGAAAACACGCAGAGAGACTCCTACAGTTGTTTGTCTTGACACCTGTCTTCATCCCGTTTGAGGACATGTTGGAAAACCATCCGGTCTAAATCATCTCTGAAACAAATAATCCAGCTGAACAACAACGACACATAGCGTATGACTCTGTGTGATTATTCATTGAACAGGAGAAATGATTCAGTAGATTTACTGTTAGAACCAGTAAATTGTTGTAATCCCGTCAGTTTCTAACACGTTGGTGGAGAATCTTTGGTCCACTTTTTGCTACAATATCATTGAAACGTGTTTGAGACGCTGTGGAAGGAACTTCACAGATGTGAGTACAATCAGGATATTTTTCTAACATTTTATTCTAGTTATTTTATTTTTTAGCTTCTAATTGGCTCCCTGTCAAATTCAAAATTGAATTCAAAATCTTACTTCTAACCTACAAAGCCCTCAACAACCTAGCCCCATCGCATATTAGTGATCTGATTGTTCCATCTTTTCCTAACAGAGCACTTCGCTCTCAGACTGCAGGTTTACTTGTGGTTCCTAGAGTTTCCAGAAGCAGAATGGGAGGAAGATCTTCCAGTTATCAGGCTCCTCTCTTGTGGAATCAACTTCCAGTTTCTGTCCGAGAGGCTGACACATTATCCAGTTATAAGACTGGGCTTAATATTTTCCTTTTTGATTAATCCTATAGTTAGGGTTGGCTGGTTATGCTGCCATAGACTTTGACTATTAGAAGACAAATTGACCTCATTTCCGTAAATAAATTGCTAAAATTGAACAGTTTTCATTTGAGACTATATCTATCTTAACATGTGATTCTTGACCTGCCATTGTGTATCTGTTCCTCCTTCTTGTTAAACTCGAATCAGTCTGCTCCTCACATAAATAATGTTATTAACTTACTTTATATATATATGAATGTTTCTGTTCAGTGCTCTGAGACAACTTCTGTTGTGACTTGATGCTTTATAAATAAATTGAATTTAATTGTTTTGCTGAAGTAAGTAAGTCAATTTTATTTATATAGCACCTTTTACAGGTCAGAAACCACAAAGTGCTTTACAGAATACAAGACATAAAAACACAAGATAAAAGATAAGACACAAAAGATAAAACAGCATGTGTATGACATGACAAAATAAAATGAATTAAAAGCCAATCTGAACAAATGTGTCTTCAGCTGCTTTTTTAAAAGTATTAAGAGAATCGAGGCAGAACAAAGTCGGAGGCAATGCATTCCACAGTCTGGGGGCCACAGCCCTAAAATCTTGATCCCCTCTGGTCTTAAAATGAGTCTGTGGGACCATTAACAGACTTTGACTGGAAGATCTGAGGCTCCGAGAGGAGGAGAAGGGCTCTTAAAGGTCAGAAATGTAGACTGGGGCTTGACCACTCGGGGCTCTAAAAGTAAGAACTAAAATTGTAAAATTGAATTCTAAAAAGTACCGGTAGCCAATGTAAAGAGATTAAAACTGGTGTTATGTGCGGTCTTTTCAGTGTGCTCGCTAAAAGCCTTACTGTCTGCAAACGATCAAGATCCTTCTTGATCAAACAAATGAAAAGACTGTTACAATAATCCAGACGGGATGAAATAAAAGCATGGACAATCATCTCTAATTCGGCTTTTGACACGATTTAAATAATTATCCTGTTGAATAAGTTAATTTTGCAGCTGTTGGACTGCTCCATGTTTGATCCTACAGAGTTCAGAGTTGACTTTATGACTGCGAGGTGCCTACAGTAGATCATGTACCTGCACAACAAGCCCAAGTCATCCTCCGCCACCATGCTGAACAACTAAAATGTGCTTATATTTTGTTTGTTTTTCTCCTAACGTGGCCAGACATCAAGAACAGCGTTCCAAACGTTTTTATTTTGTTCTAACGTTGCAAACCTGAGCTGTCCTGCTGCATTCTTTTCAAACCCAAGAGCCTTTTTCCTTTCAGCTCCTCCATGCTGACCACATACATTTAGTTTTTTCAAAAGTCACTGTCATGAACTTTAGGATATCTCAGGTCATTTCAGGGTTTGACCTTTAGGTGAATTTGCTGAGACCTTCACTTCTGGAAAGATTGCCAGCTGTCTTTGAAGTTTTCCACTAGAGCTGCATAAAACTATTATTGTTGAGGATTTGAATTAGGGATGCACTTCCGATACCGATACCTGTGGTTTTTGTTGTCAGTAGATACCGATCCGATACAGAAAACTGCTGAATTAACTTAAAACATTTGTTTATTTTAAAACACAGACAAAAATGTACTGAATTACAAATTTATTGAAAACCCTGCATCAGTACAGCACTCTTAACCACACCAGTAGGTTCACAAGCTTGGCCAAACGTGCAAAAACAACACAACTTTAATTTGTTCAGTCAGTGCAGTTATGAGTAACATTCAATGTAAAATAAATAATAATAAAGATACTGAAGCTGACAAAACAATAGGTTGACAACTTTGGTATAAAATGGTTCAGGAATTCTTCATATAATGTAAAATAAATATTAAAGGAGCTGAAATAAGAGGAAAAAACAATAACTTCACTAGCTTGGTTGGCAGATATTTAAAATAAACAGCAATTAGCTCCTGTCTTTATGGATCGGTCACATTATCACGATACCCAATCAATAATATTTTTTTTTAATCTCGTACCGATGATATCTAATAAGTGCATCTCTATCAATACCCGATCGAGAATTTTTCTCAATCTCGTACCAATATCGATACTAATATAGAATCGGTGCATCTCTAATTTAAATGTCAGATTTCCTTGTAATAATAAAAAAAACGCTCCTGCTGTCTTTCCCTCCTCCATCACATCAATCACGTGTGCTCCAGCTTTTAGCCTTTAGATCAGGGTTGAGCATGAAGAGTTGTGTTTGGTGAAACACATTGTTGGAATAAAAAGCCTCCGTGTACCGTGAACAAACAGGCATGTGAAACACAGTGATGGAGTTTGCTGGACAGGCGTGTAACTCCAGATGTTTGCTGCTGTGTTTCAGGTGGTGTGTGTTTATAACGGGAGCATGAAGCAGCTGGTTCTGCAGAAAGGGCTGAACTTCCAGTGGCCCGGAGGCTCCCCACCTCCAGACGTCCCCGAATGTGGCTTCAAAAACGACAACCCAGCCTGCCTCACACGTATGTTCTGAAATCACAAACGCATATATGATTACAGATGTAAACAGACACTTTTACAGCCTCCATTTTATTTGTTTAATTTTCATGTTTTTTTGACTTTGTATTTTGGAGGAAAGAGACTCGAGAGGGAATTAAAACATCCCTGTTTGGAGCAATACTCTCCAGCATTTCATGCAGCAAATATTCCCCAAGGTTTTCCAAGAAAGAAGGAATTATATAATCTCAGAGCTCAGGGTCTTCCCAAGGGTTTCCTCCTCGTGTGATACGTTCGAAACGACTCCGAGGGAAGGCGTTCAGGAAACATCCTAATCAGATGCCTGGACTTCCTCAAAACAATGAAACAGTTACAGAGTCCTTAAAACATTTCTGGGACTTCAGCTGCTCTTTCATTCATTTGTGCTCTATTACCTGACTATTTTTAGAGTTTATTTTTTTATTTTTTGGATTGTTTGTTTAAGCCCACTTGACTCTGACCTATGTTATCACTCAGGCATACAAGTGTTGTTCACCAGACAACGCAGCACAGAACCAGTTTTAATCAAAACTTTAGACACTTTGTTACCTGCAGCCTTTACAAAGACAGATTTATGTTTACTTCTTTATTTAAAGTTGTGACAAATACCAAAAAAAAAAAATTACACAGTTTGACACAAAAGAGTATTTTATCTCCAACAAAGTGATTCCTCTCAGGTCCTGCGCAGGTCTTTCTTAATTTATTTATTTATTTGATATTTTCAGACAACTTGAAGTTTCTTAAATATATATATGGTGTTTTTTTTTATAGATATTTTTCATTTGATAGTTTTGTTTTTTTAGGTCTGACCATCAAACATTTTGTACAGTGGTATATATATACGCATCCTAATCTCATTGTACTTGTGTATAATGACAATAAAGGCATTCTGATTCCGATCATCTTGCACAAATACAATAAATTTAAAGACACGGCGTTGGAAACCACTAAAAACCATCAAACACGTCTTCTGGCAAATTGTGGTTTGCTGCACACAGAATCGTCTCCGTGCACAGACCTGAAGTCTGATGGTTGCTTCTTTCCCTTCTCGCCCACACAGGTACAGTAACAATGCATCAGATGGTTGCCATGGTGATCTGCTTTGTCTTTGTCATCATTCTCACCATCACCATCTTTATCTACAGGTGAGATATACACACATGCAAAATTTAGGCTTCCACTGACAAATGTACACCTATTTTAGATGTTTTAAAGACTTTAAGTTACAACAGCAACAATTTCAGTGACTTTTGCCTTATTTTACTTCAGCTGACACGCAATAAACTCATAAGATTTTACCAGATTTAATATCAGAAGTAAATAGTAACAGTTGTGCTACAATAACTGTGTATTATTTAGCTTTTTTTTAAAGTATTGTCTGTAATTTTTTTGTACCTAATTAGGTTTGGTTTAAAATATATTTCACATTATAAATTAAATCTAATACAAATTTTCAAGAAATCAAAGGCAATGAAATAAATCATGTCCCAGAAACGGACTGAATAAGAAATGACAATGAACAAGGTGAGTCAGCAGAAAGACAAACTCATCCCTTTCTGCTGCAGCTGAGATCAGCAGAATGAAGCAAAACCCTCTTTTAGGAAACCACAGAGCAAGCGTTCGTTCGTCTTGAAGCATGACAGTAACGTTTAATAAACCGTACAACACGTTTAATAGCAATATTTATGTTTTGGATGTCAAATGTGAACAATATAAAAGAAAACTGTAAACTGTATACTGAATGGCAGGCAAGTTATGAAAAGGTATTTAAAGCAGTTGCCATGTGGTTCATTTGACGTGTTTTTAAGTGAAGCGCTTTTGCACTAAAGATAATTTCGAACTGGGCTGCAACTCAAAATTATATATATCGTATTTTTCGCTGTATAAGTCGCACCTTTTTGTATAAATTTGAACGCCATGTGACTTATACACCGAAGCAACTAATATACGTTTTTCCCCATGTTTATAATCCAATTTTTGGCTGAGATTTGACGATTTCATTCATTCTGACATGGAAAATATTGAACACTACCATTTTCAGCCACTAGAGGGCCCTCGACTAATATGGCAAGCCAAAAGTCTCATTAATAGGTAAAAGTGGCTATTAATGAGAGACTTGGCTTGCCATACTGAGCAACATTAGTCTTGTTCCGGAACTCCTCAGCTGCATTTCGGCGCGTCACCCAGGCGAAATGCAGCTGATTTGACCATTAAAGTGCATTTTTTAAGCAAAAGTTCAACTGAGACACACCTTTACTATAATGTCGAGCAAACAAATAATTGTTTTTAGGTGGTTATCTTGTTAAATTTTGACAAAATGCACAGCGAGTTCTCCCTCTGCGCGCTCCCGCTTATGCGAATCGATTTTTAAAATGCAACTGATTTGACCGTCAAAGTGCATTTATTAAGGAAAAGTTCAACGGAGACACACCTTTACTATAATTTCGAGCAAACAAATAATTGTTTTTAAGTGTTAAGCTTGTTAAATTCTTGTTAAAGTCCTCCCGTGCACGCTCCCGCGACCGCCATTTGGCAGCCAATCGATTTTTGGCACAACACCGGCCCACGTTTCCAGGTGGTCAACGGTGACACATAACAGATGTGACATATACGTCACAGTGATCTATTTATGTTTTTTTTTTCACTTTATTAGACATATTTGAACTGATGCGACTTATACAACGGTGCGACGTGTACGGCTGCATGTACGGTACTGCAAAAATAAAAACTAATTTTCAGCTGCAGTCTCACTGAAGTTTCAGTGCTTATGACCAAGTGACCAACAATTCATGCAGCACATACTGCGTAGCTAATTTCTAAAAATTAAAGCATATTTTTAAATGAAGGACGTGCAAAACTGTATTATTGGCTGTGCACATTAATTCGTTGCTCATTTCTTTCCACATTGTACCCGCTTTGGCAGCAGCCCTCAAGTTTATGAGCTAATCTATTGAAGTAGACAAATTTGGACGTTTTTTAATAATTATTATTTATGTGGTTTTGTTCAGACTTGCATTTTGTTGGAGGAGAGCTCCTGAGATGCTCATTACAAAATCAAAAAAGGGTTAAAAATACTCACGTGTGTTGTGGCACAGATTTTTTTTAAATGTTCACTCTTGAAGCTGTTTGCCAACAGTTGCAGCCCAGAGCGATACTACCTTAAATGATGCATGGCGCCTTGTCAAATGTTTTAAATGCCCTGCTTTATTATTGCGCTTGTATTTAAAAATAAATAAATAAATAAATAAAAACTACTATAGAAATCAAAATATTTAAATGAATATTAATGTATAAATATAAAAAATATGACAAGAAAAGTTTACCCTCTTCCTATTTCTACTGTATGGGAGAGTCCCTCTTCTCAGTCAGTTTTTGATCATTTATTCATTAAATAAATTAGCCACACAGGAAAGGAGAAGATCTTTTTTGCCCAGGTTTAATGTTGCAAAATGAACAGTGTTGAGAACCATCAGGATGCTGCATCATGCCCGGATCACAAAGTCTGCCCACAGGCAGTATAAGGAAGTGTCTTTTTATAATACTTATCAGACAGAGGCAAGGTCAAGACATCTGTTTCCAGCTTAGGGCCTTGAGGTTTCAGGTGTGCCTGCTCCTTCAGACTTCACTTCGCCAAGACAAAACAACTCTAACGCACACATGTGGTTTATTTGACAGTAGTACATGAAACACATCCATGACCTTTACATCTCCATCCACTTTAGTGCTGTTTTAACCTCTGGTTACAAAGTCCCAGATATCCCCAGACACTGAAATTACTCAGATTAATTCCTACTTGTTGTTCTTGTTAGAACAACTGCTTCATTACGGAGTTAAAGTGACCAAGCAAACTAGTTTCTATCGCCACCACCCGGCTGACCGTGCACTCCAGAGCAATTTTTGAAAAGAGTCTGATTTGCATGGTTTTCCTGCATTTTCGCTCCTGAAACGAATCAGAAACGCGCACGTATTTGCACTTCTGTGCATGTGAACGTTCACAGACAATCCTTTGATGATTAAGAAAAAAGTTGTCTTTGCTCGACTTTTCATATCTCCAGCTTAGAAGTTTACTTTGGTTCACACACACAAAGTAAATTGATGCACAAGATCACACCCGGTTTTGTGGCAGTTTGAACTCTCACAGCACCTCTTTCTCTCTCTCCATTTTATTTGTATTTCTTTCTCCTGTCCCTCTTTCCCTCCCTTCTTTTTTTCACACATCCTCTTCCTTTATTTCCTTCCTTCTGTCTGTCATAAATAGGGAGATCACAGCGAGGCCCAGAATGAGGGGGTGGAGAGTTAATATTTAAAAACATAAAGAGATTTTAGAAGGCGCTGACAGTTTTCTGCTTCGTCCTCACTTTCTTAGAAGTTTAGGAGACTGAACAGTAATAAACTCGTTTGCATGTGTTAAATTATTGTGAATTATTCTGTTACTTTATTAAAATTAGGTGAACAAACATATTGTTCACTATTTGCACATTACACAAGATAAAGGTTATTATTATACTGGTTAAATACCCTTGATATTAATGAAATATGACAGCAGATGACTTGTATGTTTATTAACGTATGTTAAAAAAAATAGCTGTAATCTGTGGATGTTTTGTGGTAAACATAAATCAGCTAAAGTTACTGGTATTTAAGTTAACTACAGAGAGCTGGATATAGATGAAGTCTAAAGACGGTGCGGCGTTTTATACAGGAAAACATGAACAAACCTTGTATTTTGATGTCCTGCTGTTTTTGTATATTAAATATTAATAAAGATACGGAGCAAAAACTTTAGGTGTATGTGGATTTTTTTTTTAAACAACTAAAAACTGACAACTTTTCATTCAACCTTTATTTAGACAGGTAAATCCCATTGAGCCTCAAGGACTACATCAGAGTATTTAGTGATAAAACCAACTTTATTTATAAATTAAACAGGGCTGATTAACACTTTTATAATGTTTGCAACCTATAAAGACCTTCAAGTTTTCTCTTTTAATGCAGAAAAGTAAAACTAATCTTTTCATGCATCTTTTCAGATACACAAAACTTGTGCCCCCCCATAATAAATGTTAGTTTAGGTTTTTTAAAGTGGAATTTTGTGAAATATCATCTTGTCTATTGCAGATAGCCTTCTGAATGGCCTCGAATTAGAGAAACAAAGTTTATTTCTCACCAGACCGATAGTCGGAGTCTCTTTAAGAACCTTCGCTTCCGTCTCTGTCTCACTGTTTAACTCTCTGTCCCCATCTCCCAATGTTTCCTCCTTTATTTTTAACACACACCTAATTATCGACTCTACAAACACACGCACACACACCTGTCCTCCTGTCTGTTGAATAGGAAGTTGAAGCTAGAGAGTGAACTGGCTGCCCAGCTGTGGAGAGTCTCCTGGGAGGACATCCAGATGAGCAACCTGGAGAAAACCATGCGGAGAACTTGCAGCCGGCTCACCATGTCTCTGGTAAAAGCGTGAATTATTTCAGCGTAGACCTTGAACCTGGTTCTGGTTTCTGATTGTCACACCTGCACTATAATATTTCAGTGTTCCCTCATTTGGTGTAAGCAAAACTTTTAGCAAGCGTCAGAAGTTACGCACAAGTTGAAGTTTTTTTCTTGTTTGGATGATGAGACACTTTGAGCAACAACCATTGGAGTTAAATCCCTCAGGATCACTTTTGTGTTCAGGTCAAAATAAATTTACCGTATTTTTCGGACTATAAGGCGCATTTAAAATCCTGTAATTTTCACAAAAATCGACAGTGAGCCTTTTGTATTAATTCTGGTTGTGTTACTGACCTGGAACTGGTTTTATGTGTTACAACTGAACAATGTTGAGAGTTATTGTGAATGAGTTGAGTAAAGTTTGACTTATCTGACTGTTTTGTTCCACTTAATGCGCCTTATAGTCCGAAAAATACGGTACTGTCACTGAACTTAAAGCGTCCTTCTGCTGTGAACATCCATTTCAATCTCAATGTCTAACTCTTTGCTTGTCCACAGAAAGGATCCAACTATGGTTCTTTGATGACAATGGAGGGAAACTTTCAGATCTACACCAAAACTGGATACTACAAGGTGTTTGACCCACAACAACTGTGTTAAATCATTCCGACAGTGTTGTCAAAGGAAGATGCGTGAAGAGATAACCTTGCACTGTTTTCTCTCCCTCAGGGCAATCTGGCAGCCATCAAGTATATTAATAAAAAGCGCATTGAACTGACGAGGAAGGTTTTGTTTGAGCTGAAGCATGTAAGAATTCTGGAAAACGTTGATTTTTGAGCATCTTAATTCAGGTTAAGTCGTCCTGGCTGTGAGACGTTAGCGGATTTGATGTGGTTTGTATCTCTGTGTTTCTACAGATGCGAGATGTTCATAACGAACATCTGACTCGTTTCATCGGTGCCTGCCTTGACCCACCAAACATGTGCATCATCACGGAGTACTGTCCCAGAGGGAGCCTTCAGGTACACAATGAACACAACAGTACTTGTTACCTATCTGACAAATATCAGTGTCTCTGTCATTCATGAATATTCCTTTAATAATTATCAGTATCTCTCAAAACCAAGAGCACCTTAAATAAACCAATAATCCAGGTTTGTTCACAGCAAAACAACATTTTAATTAAAGGTCTGGTTATTCTTTGAATGAATTCATATCGCCTGCTGCCTTTAGACTAAGATTATCTTACAGTGAGATCGTATCATACAGCTGTTTTGTAAACTATGATCTCATCCAATATTGTGAGATTTCAAGCAGCCTTCTCGATAGCAGTGAAAATGTTGGTTCACACAGACTGTTTATGGCAATAAATAAACAAGGCCTTGTTTTTGGTCAGACTTACTCGTGTCTCTCGGTCTTCGGACATGGAGGTTTTATTATAATAATCTTTTCCATTTTTAAATTGTTTTTCGCTTGTACTGACCCAGAGATACGAGCGAGCTGCAGGTGCACCAGTTAATGACGTCCTGCTCTGATTCTGCAGCCTGCATGCATGTGAAACAATGTTTTAGTACTAAATGTTTACTTGAGCACATTTCAATTTTCAAGTGTGTATTTGTTTTTCACTTCCAAACTAAAATTATTTTGTCGGATGAGAGATTAGAGGCGGGACTCCGCAGTGACTCTGGCCGGGAAACACATAAATCTTCTGGGGTAAACTGAACTACCGTATTTTCCACCGTTAACGTCGCTCCACCCTATAAGTTGCATCAGTCCAAATATGTCTAATAAAGTGGAAAAATCCATAAATATGTCGCTTTGCCGTATACGTCGTGTCTATTATGCGCACCGCTGACAACCTGGAAATGTGGGCCGGTGTTGTGCTAAAAATCGATTGACTTCCAAATGGCGACCGCGAGAGCGTGCATGGGAGGACTTTAACAAGGGTTTAACAAGATTAACACTTAAAAACAATTATTTATATGCTCGAAATTATAGCAAAAGTGCATCTCAATTTAACTTTACCTTAATAAATGCACTTTGACGGTCAAATCAGCTGCATTTTCAAAATCTGATATGCAGAAACATTAATGCACAGAGGACGATTCGCTGTCCATTTCTTCAAAATTTAACAAGATTACCACCTAAAAACAATTATTTGGTTGCTCGACTTTATAGTAAAGGTGTGTCTCAGTTAAACGTTTACTTAATAAATTCACTTTGACGGTCAAATTAGCTGCATTTCGCCGAGGCAGCGCAGTGAAATGAAGCCGATTTAACGGTTGTTCCAGGCAGACAAAGATGGCAGGCTATGGCAAGCCGATTGTGTCATTAATAGCCACTTTTACCTATTACATGATCAACGGCATGACATACTGCTGGACTGCCATCTAGCGGCTGAAAATGGTAGTGTTCAATATTATCAGTCAGAGTGAATGCAAATACTGAGGCTCAAACTTGGACTGGGGATCTATGCGGTAAATGACAGATGTCTGCACCAATCTGTTCACAATGAAGTGAGATGTATACTACTGTACATCCACAGATAGCGAAAATGGAAAGATGGAGTACATGGTGAAATTTGACTTTTTTGGACCATTTTTGATTTTACATTCATACTTCACCCTGAAAATTGTTTAACATGCTGTGTTTGGTGTCATTGCGCAACCTCCCATGTGTAAATTTCAAGTTATTCTTTACTTTTAATCTACTGCATCAACACAATAAACTTAAAATCACCAGAAAACAAACAAAAAAACAACAACAATAATAATAATCTGTGTAGAAAAAATTACTGTTTTTTTTACTGTGAAAACCACAAACATTCATAATTTTTTTTACAACTTCGAATGCAAATATTAACAGTAATATTCATAAATATGTGCAAATTTAGTTAATAAAGTTATATACACTATTTCCATTGAAATACAAACCTTTTCTGTTACAATAAAATGTCATAAATCATAAAAACAGGTTCTGTAAGGCAGAGGGGCACATCACATCCCCTTTTTTGGTCATTTTCTTCGTCTTGCTCGGGATCAGTCAGGTGAATGTTCTATAATCTGGATCTGGATCTTTCTTGTGTCATCATTTTGGCAGGAAGGGGCTCAGACAAAATGTGCTTCTGATCCTGGATGAATGGCCCGGACACCAACATGTAAATCAAGAGACCAAAACTTTTATACAAATCGTCCATGTTTGTCAGTTTTGTTGATTTTTTTTTTTGCAGATTTTTAAAAATATTTTGCTGCCTTCTTGTTGGTGGTACTGCAGATTGTCTATACTGGGTCATAGAAAAAACACTTAAAACAAGGTTGGTTCTGTTGGCCCAGCCAGCGTGGTCCTCTGAGTGGGCTCGGTGCGCTCTTCGTCTTTCCTCTTCTAAAACAAATCATGCACTTGAACAGCAAAGCCCTCACTGTCTGACTCGGACTCTGTTTTTCTCCTCCATCTCTGCCTTCGTGATCCTCTCCTCTGAGAGGTTCTGACTCCGCAGCTCTATCCTCCTCGTGTTCAAAAACCACCTCATTGTTTTGAGTCAAACGCACTAAAACAGACTAAACTAAACACGCTAAACTGTACCCTAACTATAAAATCCAAGCACGCTGCAGAAGTAAAACTTCCTCAGACTCTATGTTCTCCAGCATCTCTGTTATCCAGCTCTGTAGCCTAGCAACCGTCTGGTGGGGTAACCTAGCAACGAGAGGAGATAAGTCATTCTGCATTGGGCTGATGTGGGCTGCGTGGGGTTTGGGTTGTTGCCAGATGACCGCAGAATCGAAGAGCAGAATGAGTTATTTTCTGCCGTGCGAGGATGGAGATGTTTTCAGCTCTGAAGGAGATTACGTTTGTACAGATGACGAGCGTCACCTGCAGAGGCAGAAGGGAAACGGGCATCGTTTTCAGCATGCACTAACAAAAAGCTCGTACAGATGTCAAGAGTCAAACGTGTGCTCCGGATAGAAACATTTTCTCACAGACAGGTCTTCGTTTGACAAAGGGAGATTCAGGGTGGAATCGATTTTAGGTCAGAAAGTTCAGAGTCTTGGGAAATACTGTATATCTATAAAGGTTTATTACTATCATTCATCAAAAACATCCACTATTTAATTTAAATACTTGTATTTTTCATTGTTAAAACTCATGAAGTCCCTGCTCGCATGCAATTAACACCATACTTCATCTCCAAACCATCTCTGTTTGCAGGAAAACATGGCTGCTTGTGCAACATTTCCTTGCCTTTAAAGAATTTCAAGACTTTTACATTGCATTTGAATTTTTTTTTCAACCCCTCACTTGGATTTCAGTAAAACAAAAATTCCAGCCAAATATAACATTGATGTCACTGCCTCCTTGTGGGCGTGCTTGTTTAACTTCATGGCATCACCTCCGGAGAATGACTTGTTAGTACCAGTGGTGTAGTCTACGTGATACTCTGATATACGGAGTATACCCACTAGAAAAGCTTAAGAATTTCAGTATAATCACTTAAAAGTGCCCAATCATACATGAAATATCATTAGGCACGTGTCATTAATACGTTAAACAGCAGTTAAACGCTTCCGTAACAATCTATTGTTATGCAGCGCTTTGCTTTGATACGGTTTTATAAATTCTATAACATATTTTTAACACAAAGCCAACAGTTGTACAAAGTTTGTTGTTCATTTATTCAAATATAAGCATCAGAGAAATTTGGAAATGTTCAATATGCTTAAAAATCAAAATAAATTGACGATTACATTGTACTAACCAGCGTACTTTGGTTTCTAAGCACAGTACACCCACTACAAAAATGCAGCCAACACCGCTGCATAGTACGGTAACACACCTCCGTGTAACGTCTGACCAACTTGTATGTGTTTATTCTGCAGGATCTGATGGAGAGTGACGGCATCACCCTGGACTGGATGTTCAGATACTCTCTCATTACTGACATTGTCAAGGTTGGTTGATGGAGCATAATGTGGGGCACTAATGGCAGCACCTGTCAATCAAACACAATGGACAAAGTTTCAAGTATTTTCTTGTTTCAGAGTTACTGTGGGTTTCTAATTTGTCTTTTGATGCTGTTGTGGCTGTTAATCTTCTTACTGCATCAGCACATACCTATACAATAAGTAAAGTTGAAAGCCTATAGCATTCCTTAGAGGAGTGAAATATTTCAGGCAATATTGCAAGATGTCAGACTCAGATTATGTGTTGTAAATCACTCAATTACTAACACGTTAGATTCTAGCTCTATATTTGTAAAACTGGCTGAGCTGTAGCCTTTTTTGTGTTGGCTAGTGTTTATAAATTGTGGTAGGCATCTTACATTTGGTACGCTCTAAATGTTTATCAGTCGAAGAGATGTGTCAAATGTTTATTTCCTGAAAGTTTCATGAAAATCTGCCCAGTGGTTTATCAGATTTGTTGCTAACAGATGGACAGAACTGGCTGTAAACAGTGGATGGCAAAATTGTAAGTGTGGATCTTGCACGATCAGTTAGTGTTTAGAATATGTGTAGCTACTACCTCACCAAACCTTAGGTCAGTATCTGTAAAATGAACTGAGTTCTAGTCATCTTTGTGTTTTTATATTGAATGGGCTGTGGCGGCCATCTTGAATTGGGCTAACTCCAAAAGTTAAACGGTTGTAGATGTATATCCAGTGATGACTTCCTTCAAGTTTCATTAAAATCCATCTGGTGGTTAATGAGATATTTTGGTAACAGACAAAGGACAAACCATCGTCGTTCATCTTTGAGCGGAGACTTTTTCTTAAAGGTCTCCATATCTGTGTACCATATTTTTCAGACTATAAGGCGCACTTTAATTTTCTCAAAAATCGATAACGAGCCTTATAATCTGGCACGCCCTATGTATTAATTCTGGTTGTGCTTACTGACCTCGAACCGATTTTATGTGGTTATTGTGAATAAGTTGAATAAAGTTTGACTTATCCGGCTGTTTTGTTTCACTTAATGCACCTTATAATCCGGTGCGCCTTATAGTCTGAAAAATACAGTATTTTTTCACCAAACTCGTTCAGATGTTATCTTTATTTGTCTGTTTTTTCTTTAGGGGATGGCGTTCCTCCACAACAGTGTCATTGTGTCTCACGGTAACCTGAAGTCATCCAACTGTGTGGTGGACAGCCGATTTGTTCTGAAGATCACAGATTATGGGCTGCAGAGTCTGCGGACCAGCAGCTGCCCAGACGACACGCACGCTTACTACGCACGTACGACACACACACTTTTAGTGTTACTCAACCTGCATGGTACATTCACACAGTATGGGAAAAGGAGATGATTTATTATGTGTTAATCACTTGGCAGGAAAGCTTTGGACAGCTCCAGAGCTCCTGAGGTCAGAGTACCCTCCTCTCTGCGGGACCCAGAAGGGGGATGTTTACAGCTTTGGTCTAATCCTGCAGGAGGTGGCTCTGCTGAAAGGAGTATTCTTCATCGATTCACAATCCCTCACTCCTAAAGGTCAGTGAACACAACCTGATATCCAAACCTCTTATCTGGGCTGAAACGCACATGTTGATGAACGCGTCGTATTATTTGCATTCCTGTGTGGCAGCCGGACGACCCGTCGCCTTCAACACATCATTAACTCATCAGTGGTGCGTTCAGGAGCTCTCCGTGTGTCACGGATTATCTGAACTCCTGAAACGAACACGTTGCTCTCTGGTCAGCGATGAAAACGGAGAGCACTCACTTTTCAACTTTGTGGATCCGACTCGATTCGTTCTGCTTTGTAGTTTCTTTTTTGTCCCGTTTAATGTTACTTTCAATTTGTAAACGTTCTTAAGCAATTCAGTTGTCAAGCTTATTTTAGCAGCTTTAACTCTTATTATTGAACATCACTAAGCTGATACTTGTAAGTTTGGAATCTACTTAAATACAGCAAATATAAAAAATATAAATTATCTCCAAACGGAACTGATAACTGGAATTGAAGATGGATGGATGGATGGATGGATGGATGGATGGATGGATGGATGGATGGATGGATGGATGGATGGATGGATGGATGGATGGATGGGAGGGAGGGAGGGAGGGAGGGAGGGAGGGAGGGACCCTCCACTGGACATTGTGTGTGTTCAGATTATGTCAAATAGTAGACGGCTTCAATTAGCAGTTAAACAATTTTTTTGGCGTTTCCTTCATTTTTAAACGCTAATGTTTAAAATAATCACTTTAGACACACAACTAATTCAACAAATAACATCTGATAAAAGTCTAGATCTGGGGTCTGCAACCTGCGGCTCTAGAGCCACATGTGGCTCTTTAGTCCCTCTGCAGCGGCTCTTTCAAGCTTTGATCAAAACTAACTTTAAACTGAATTTTATTGGACCTTATAAGAACAAAAATGGCTAGTTTTAACCGTTTTTCTGTAATTTCCTTTGCAAATATGTGAATACTAAAACTAATAGGAGTAAAACATACTTTCATTTTATGCTTTATTTCTTCAATGTAGGATAATTAATTTTCCGACAATTAAAAAAAAATCACATAGACCTGCATAGTTCATTGTTTTCGTTTTTATTTAAACGGGCAAGAACATATTATTTTTCTATCTTTACAAAAATCTTGTCTTTTATTTTGTCTTAAAATGTAAACATATCAATGTGTTAAAAATCATTAGGTATTTTTGGTTTTATAATGTCAACCTGGCCAGAAAAGCACCCTCCAACAAACTTAAAGTGGTCCACGGGCCACCAGTTGAGAATCACAGTTATAACAGGACACGTTTCATTTAGTGAACGAAGGGGCAGAAATGGCTCTTTTGTTCGTAAAGCTCGCATGACCTCTGGTCTAGATAATAATCTTCAAATAAGCTTTGAACAAAATGCAAAAGGTTAAACCTTAATCTGGATTTTAGAGTGAAAAGTTCTAGCAGCTACAAAAAAAACAAAACTCAAGTGCAATTTGAAGAAGAGTTCCTGCTGTTTGATGACGTGCGTGCTTCCCGTTGTTTATTTGGGTAGCTCACAATGCCTCGTCCAAAACTTAATAGTAAAAGCAGTAAGTGCACGTGACAATAAATATTAAAACAGTACTGTTGTCAGTATTGCTTAAAATATATAAAAAAATGTAATTATGTTGGTGAAACTGCAGCTTTTAGTGATGACAGACTTTTGGTGAAGTGGAGTATATGATGAAATCTAGTGTGATGCAACAACAACGGGAGTGAAGAATCATCTGACTGATTCTGTTTCAGATGATAAATAATCAACAGGTTTTCCAACGCAACTAGAGGGTTGAATATTTACCCTGAACCATCTGTCAGCTAATAATAAACTGCTTCAGAGGCAAAAAGCTGCCTTAGCTTTAGTTTAGCACATCTTTTTGTGTTCGACTCTCTCAGATGGACAGATCATAGAGCCGTTAGGGGACACGTGAACTCAGGTGACAGGTGAGGTTGGTTCCAGTCGGGCCTCCAGGGGTGTTACTCAACAAACAGCTAGAACAGCTCCGACAGAGCTCATTTTAACATGTCCTCTCTGTGTCCAACCCCTCTCAGAGATCATCCAGGCGGTGGGTCATGGTGACCTGCCCCCCCTCCGCCCCTCCCTCTGCTTCCACAGTCACAGCGAGGAGCTGGGAGTCCTGATGCAGCGCTGCTGGAGCGAAGAACCGAGCGAGAGACCCGACTTCCACACCATTAAGATCCTGCTGAGGAAGCAGCACAGGTGCACGGCGCCATTATGACATATTCAACACCATTAATATAAATACATTTGAATTATAAAATGGGATTTCTATGCTAGACCTTTAAAATTGGAAATTTCATAAACTATAAAATCAGCAGTTATTAACATGTATCATTACCAGAGCATAATCAGGTACCTACTTCTTTTTTAGAATCACAACGTCGCTTGAAACATTTAAAAGCTAATGAAAAATTTCTGAATAAATTCTGAAACTGTTATTGATATGAAGAATACACATCTCAATCGGTTTTTCAGCCGCTCCTCTTAGTTTGTGTCTGCTGTAAAAAATAAATGTTACGCTCTGTAGCTCAAGCAGAAAACAACATTAATACTAAAATTAAATAGATATTTAAATTAAAATAGATGCTGCATGAAGTAGAGAAATTATCAATGTTCAGTCAGGTCATCTGGAAAGTTTCTTTTTTATCTGAGGCATTTCATCCTTCATCCAAAGGACTTCGTCAGTCCGAGGAGTCACAAACAAACTGATTCCCACAATCAGCACAACCCCATAGTGGAAAAAAATACATATTATGGTTAACCATTTTAAACCATCTTATCACCAGCAAACTCCCCCACTATGGGAGTGTGCTGGTTGTGGGAATTAGTTTGTGTGTGGCTCCTCAGACTGATGAAGTCCTTTGGATGAAGGATGAAACCTCTCCGCTAAAAAAGAAACCGTCCAGACAATTAACATTTTCTGTAAGTGCTATTTAACTACTGAAATTTGCTGAAGAAGCTCAAATTGTGTTGTTGAAGCTTAAAAAAACGGAACACTAGCTAAAAGCTAAAAGGAGCAAAATACCAGCTAAAAAGGAAAAGTAGTAAAACACTTGCCAAAAGCTGAAAGTAGCGAAAGGCTAGCTGAAAGCTAAAGGAAACAAAAGACTAGCTGAATAGGTTAGTTAATAGCAAAGGCAGACAAAAGGCTAGCTAAAAGCTCAAAATAGGAAAAAGCTAGTTAAGAGTGAAAAGTAGCAAAAAGCTACCTAAAAGTTAAAAATTGGAGAATATCAAAAATGTAAAAGTAGCATAAGAAAACAAAAATGGAGCAGATATGCTGAATAAGATTAAAAAACAACTATTTTTAATCTTGGTACTTCTGTGAGGAAAATAGTTGTCTGTAAAGTTAAATGTTTTTGACAAGAATAAAAGTTCTAAAATAATACAAAAGTCTCCTGAAGCCGATTTTTTAAAATATAAAACACAAACTACAATAACACAAAGTTTGCAGAAATGGGGAGATGGCAAAAAACAATAAAATAAAAAAAATAGCAGGAAAATAATGTTAATGCTGAATCAGCATTCTCACAATTAAATGGTAATATCATTTTCACAAATATTACAGGAATCAAAAATCTTTCTTTAGAAAGAGTTGCTCAATTAGTCGTCATTTGGACATATTCTACAAAGCTTTAAGTGACTGCTTTTAGCTGTTGAGCTTACTGTGTGGCTTTGGTTCTGTGTGTCTTCAGAGGTTATGGGTCCAACATCCTGGACAACCTGCTGTCTCGTATGGAGCAGTACGCCAACAACTTGGAGGAGCTGGTGGAGGAACGAACTCAAGCTTATAATGAGGAGAAACGCAAGGCGGAGGCCCTGCTCTACCAGATTCTACCACAGTAACTATACTCGTAGTATTCTGAATAAATTACTACAGCTGCTTCCTTAGTAGGTGTACAGGAATATTAAATATGATCACAGTTTTCAGTGTTTGGTTCTGTTTGTGTGTCAGCTCTGTAGCCGAGCAGCTGAAACGAGGGGAGACAGTTCAGGCCGAAGCGTTCGACTCGGTCACAATCTACTTCAGCGACATCGTCGGCTTCACCGCACTGTCTGCAGAGAGCACGCCGCTGCAGGTTGGTGAAACCTCAACAGAACTCAAGGGTTAAATTCAGGAATAAGATCAAGATTTTTGAAAGGCAGAATCAAAAACTTAAGTATATGGTTCAATAACCTGAAAGTACCAGGCTGCCATCTAGTGGTGGAAGCCATCACTTCCATCTTCAGTCAACCTTCAGAATGAATGATGATCAGACGGCCTACTTTCTGCGGCTCTGCATCATTTTTATCCCTCGTCCTCGATTGAGATGATGCCCCACATTTTGACTCTTCTTTATCAAAGGTCAGCTCCAGGACAGAAACTTTAGATTATAACCAGATCAGAAAGCAGACAAGACTCTTGTCACAGAGGCAGGGTTTAGTATTGATCAAATGGTGCACGCGTGTCCAAGTTTGGCTTAACGTGTCATCATCTTTGCTGCAGATCTGTGCCCAAAGCACAAAAGACTAAATTATGTTGATATCAGTGAAGTTTCATGGAAACTACTACAAACAACCCTAATAGGCTGCCAGGAATAAAAAGTGCAACCAAATTATTGACATTTATCACCCTGTGCAGCAATACGGTACTAACCTAGAACAAGTCCTTACATTTTCGTTTTAGCATGACAATAAACAACTGTATCGTTGACACAGAAATGCAAGGATGCGTCAGGAATGTTCTGACCTACGTTACATACAGTATGTAGATTGTAAAAAGAGTGGGTCCCAAGACTGAGCCTTGTGGTACACCATTATTGACAGTGAAATAACTGGAAGAAGTACCACTGTGTTGAACACATTGCTTTTGGCCTGTGTATACTTTATCTGTAGTTTTGTTTTAAACAGATCTCTTGAAAATGAGTCCTTGTGACTCAATGAGACTAACCAGTATAAATAATGGTTGAATGAAATGTAGGCGTTTTGGTTGAAAAAACTTAATTCTAATGAAATCCATTTTTGAAGGTGATAGTAGGATATATATTTAGTAGAGGCTAGAAATGACTCTTTTTATAAGAGTGCAAAATAGACATTTCAGATATAATTCTCTAATGAGAACAGCTCGTGAACAATGTTTTTCCAGACAAGTAATCCTGTTTGATGAAATTTTGATAAAAAAACTGAAACAAGCCCAAGTTTGTGCTTCGATTTTGTAAATCTGTTAGCATGAGTCAAATGATATGTATGCTGTATCTTTTCTCATTAAAGAGTCAACTATTTATCTGTTTGCAGGTTGTGACTTTATTAAATGATCTCTACACCTGCTTTGATGCCATCATCGACAACTTTGATGTTTACAAGGTAAAATAATAAAAAACTATTCATTCTGCTCATCAACTATGATAAACTTTGCTAACAGTTTCCAGCTAGTCTGGATCAGAGCAGTTTAAGGTTTTGTGCATGATGTCCCGTCAGGTGGAGACTATTGGAGATGCTTATATGGTGGTGTCAGGCCTGCCGGTCAGGAACGATAAACTGCACGGTCGGGAGGTGACGCGGATGTCTCTCGCCTTGCTGGACGCTGTCAAGAACTTCAAGATTCGACACAGACCCAATCAGCAGCTCCGGCTTCGCATCGGCATTCACAGCGGTACAACAATAACACTAAACGACACAGAAATATAACTGCAGACTTAATAAAAATGTGTTGATGCGTTTGTGTTCAGGCCCTGTGTGTGCTGGCGTGGTCGGGTTAAAGATGCCCAGGTACTGTTTGTTTGGCGACACGGTCAACACTGCGTCACGCATGGAGTCCACGGGAGAGGGTGAGACCAAGATCCTGCAGGAACACACACATGATTAAAGCACAGGTCCTCACATCAACACGACCTCACGCAGAAATACTTTCCTTGCAAGTTTTAAACCCACAGGATTATTTCAACAAATCTTCAGATTTAGAGCATCTTCATTAAATAAAATTGAGGAAATGCAAATTTTGTATGTTTAAAAATTAAGTAGACTGTGTTGTATCATCAAAATGTAGCAGTAAGGGTTACGCACTGCTGCAATAAATAAAATAAAATGCAGGCGAAATGCAGCTGATTTGACCATTAAAGTGCATTTATTAAGGAAAAGTTAATCGGAGACACACCTTTACTATAATGTCGAGCAAACAAACAATTGTTTTTAGGTTATTTTGTTAAATTTCGACAAAATGCACAATGAGTCCTCCCTCTGCGCGTTCCACTTCTGTTAATCTATTTTTGAAATGCAGCTGATTTGACCAATTTAGCGCATTTATTAAGGAAAAGTTCAACTGAGACACAACTTTACTATAATTGTGAGCAAACAAATAATTGTTTTTAAGTGTTAATCTTGTTAAATTCTTGTTAAAGTCCTCCCGTGCACGCTTCCGCGACCGCCATTTGGCAGCCAATCGATTTTTGGCACAACACCGGCCCACGTTTCCAGGTGGTCAGTGGTGACGCATAATAGACGCAACTACTATGACGAAGCGACTTATTTATGGTTTTTTCACTTTATTAGACATATTTGAACTGATGCGACTTATACGGCGGTGCGACGTGTACGGCGGCAAGTACGGTACTTTAAAAATTAATTTCAGCTGCAATCTCACTGAAGTTTCAGTGCTTATGACCAAGTGACCAACAATCTGTGCAGCACATACTGCGTGGCTAATTTCTAAAAATCAAAGCTTGTTTTTAGGTGAAGGACGTGCAAAACTGTATTATTGGCCGTGCACATTAATTTGCTGCTCATTTCTTTCCACATTGTACTCAGTTTGGCAGCCCTCAAGTTTATGAGCTAATCTACTGGAGTAAACTTTAGACAAAAAACTGCACATTTGTATGTTTTTTTTTAAAATAATTATTATTTATGTCGTTTTGTTCAGACTTGCATTTTTTTTTTCAGAACTCCTTAGATGCTCATGACAAAATCAAAAAGGGTTCATAATACTGTATTTCTTGGACTATAAGGCGCACCAGATTATAGTCCTGTGTCCAGTTTCAGTACTTTTTGTCTGATCTCACTTGTAAATGAGTCTTCGAGGCTCAGTGTGATGTATCTGTCTAAATTTTCATTCATTCATTCAACCTTTATGTAGACAAGTTAATCCCATTGAGCCTCAAGGACTCATTTACAAGAGAGATCTGATTAAATATAGGTTATAGAAATAAAGGTTATAAAATAATATATTATAAATAAAAATATAGGTTATAGAAATAAAGGCTGAATGAAAAAAAATAAGGTGCATTAAGCGAAACTAAAACATTTTGACAGATTTTTGAGCGTCGTGTACCACATAAAATCGGTTCGAGGTCAGTAAGCACAACCAGAATTAATACATAAGGTGCTCTGAATTATAAGGCTCACCGTCAATTTTTGAGAAAATTAAAGGATTTTAAGTGTGCCTTATAGTCCGAAAAATACAGTACTCACTCTGTATAACAATAAATAAAATAAAATGCAAAAGAAACTAAATATTAATCACAATATTGTTCTTCCTCCTTTATTTATGTTTCTGGTGGGAGAGGCTAAGCTGCAAAATGGAGAGTTGAAGTCATGCAAAAAGAAAAATTGAATTAGTTAATGGTGAAATCATCTCCTTTGCATCATTCGATGTCATATCTAACATAATGTGACTGGGAATTCTATATCCCCTCAGCCTTGAAGATTCACGTGTCGGAGGCAACTCGACAAGTCTTGCAGGAGTTTGGATACTTCCAGCTACAACTCAGAGGAGAAATTGAAGTCAAAGGCAAAGGACGTATGAGGACATACTGGCTGCTAGGAGAAGATGAAAAAAACTGACAAAGACCCGAGGGAGACTGACAGAGAGGACTTCTGCCGGGATGACCCTGTCTGATGGATTATAGTCCAAACTGTCCTTTTGTCTCTGACTGGATGGTCACTCGTATCAGCGTTTAAAGTCACAAATCAGAGACCGAACTGGTGTCACCGGAGAAAAACTGTAGAGAAAAAGATACAGACATAAAGAATGTTTCACTGTAAAATAAGTCATCTGAAAGAAAGTTGTGTAAATACAAAATAAAATGTGTATTGTTACTTTGTGTTGTTGTTTTGTTAAAAAAAAAAAATACTGGGGGTCATCTGGGCATTTCTTGTATTTATCAGTCATATTTAAAAAGACTATCTATGGTAGTATAAAAGTGAAGTAGTAGTATAAAGTAATGGAAACAGCAGAGTTTCACAGCTAAGTTTGAAGTTCACGTTTAAGATGAATCCAGCTATTAAAGTTGGAATAATGAATGAGTCATTCTGCATCACGTAAATTAAACATTTTAATTTTGTTTAACCAATTTCCATATGCAGTATATATTTTTTAAATTTCATCAAAAACATTTTTTTGAACACGTGTTTACATGGAGTAGAAGAGGTGGCGCTGATGCTAGAGGTCGATGGCTCGACTCCCCGGAAAAGCTTCAAGGCTCTTTGTCATTCGCATCACATGAGGTGGAACGAAATTACTTCAAAAGTATAAAAAGAAACTATACTGTACAAGGATCTAAGATATACACTAAACGATAATAATGTAAAATAATACAGTATATTAAAGAGCAGCCTGATCACGAGTCTGTTGTGAGCAGGTGGGTATAGATACAGCATCTTGAAGACAAGAAATCAGCAGCATGGATAATCAGCAGCAAAATGTGGGTGGCTCAACCAAACACACGTCTCCACCCTTGTTTTCACCTCTGGGCCCTTGAGCAAGGCTCCGTAACTCCCCTAATGGCTCCTTAAGCCATCTAGGGTTCCCCCAGGTGCTCTAGATGGCAGCTCTCTGCTCCACACACAGGGCTGTGGTAGCTTGGTGGTCTGTGGTTGCATGTGAGTTTGTTCGCTGTAGCGACCCATGATAAAGGGAGTAGCTGAAAGAAGAAGGGGGGAACATGCACTAAATAAGTATATGCTAAACTAGGTTTCACAAGTTTATGTATTTGACCTGTTTGACTTTTTTTTTTATTATTATTTTACCAGTAAGTTTGAGTTGTATAGTAATCAGAAACAATAATTGGATTTATATTGTAGTTCTGGTGATTTACTATTGTATTATACAGGCGTGATGATTTGTTATTTCTTTGTAAACAAGGTGAAGTGGTGTGCATGCAGGTGGTCCCCAGTACAACACGCCAGGAATTGGCTCCAGATATTCTAACCTGCTATTAGTTCACCCTTACGTCACTCAAACAAAGGGGTAAGCTGATTGGTTGTTGAGCAGCATGGTCACCGCCCCGTCCCTCAACTGTCGGTGCGGATGTCCGTTATGTTACTGTGGTCGGTCGGTGTCACGTAGTAGGGACTCATAGTTCAAGCTATCTTTAAATAAGTTTTAAAAACACATACTAACAAGCTGAAGTGATTCACAGCAAGGTTCTGATCCGGACCATAGCCCCGGACTCTTCATTACACCGATACAAACACCTATAACACCCGTGCACCGGCAGTCCCATCCCTTCACAGCTCCGCGGGGCCCGGCGAGGCGCGGCGGGAGCAGATGGAGCCTGCACCGGCGAAAGCGAAGCCACAGGGCCGGCTCCTGGTGTCCACCCTGCTGGATGCCAAAGACGAGTTAGAGGAGGTAGGGAGATCCGAGTTAGCGTCCTAATTAGAATCTGTTACTGTGAATAAACCGGGACAGAGATGGTGTACAGGCAAATAGAAGCAGTTTTATTTTTAAAGTAGCAGAAGGTACAAAGACGTGATGGAACCATTTTATCAACTGCAAGATGCTAACAAGCTAGTTAGCAATGCTAGCAGCAGGGTAGGAGCTCCAGTTCAGCGGAGTTGTCCTTTTACGTGCGTGAACATATTGTGTAAGACGGAAAGCTCAGTGAGAGACAGTTGTGGCGTGGGCCCTTTGTGTTTGTGCTCTCGGAAATGCTGTGTTAGTGATTTGAAGTCCTACAGCTTATTGAATTTAGCCTAGCATGCTAATTCAACGTAAACATATGGGACAGTTGCGCATGCGCCTTGTTTCACATGTCAGAACTATTTAGAGCCTGACAGTTCATCGGTTTATTGTTTAATAAAGTAAATAATTTTACTAATTCATAAGCTTGTCGTGAGGGTTATTAGTTATTTCTCACAGGACAAATTACACAATGTTTTTTTGTGTTAATTTTTCAGCATTGTTTATTATATTGCGATGGTGTTTATGTTGTGCTAGTTTGAAGCTTGATATATTGCTGCCTTTAAGTTGTTATGTAAGTGGATTTACTGTCATGTTGGTTACATTTGCTTGTGATTTGATATTGTGTAATATGTTGCCATTACATGGCTGTGTTAAGATTGTACATTTTTTGTGCCTTTTTGACATTTGACTTTATGTTTGTGATGATGTTGCAGGGTTTTACTCTTTTACTGATTTATCTTTACAGTTTGTGTTATTTCTGTTAATCTACAGTACACCATGCATACACTAGTGTGTGGAGTTGGTGCATGTTGCACTTTTTGTATTGAACGCTTTTTGAATGCACCTTTTATAGTTATCTGGCAGCATGATAGCTCAGTGGTTAGCACTGTTGCCTCACAGCAAGAAGGTACTGGGTTCAATCCCCGGTTGGACCTGGGGTCTTTCTGTGGAGTTTGCATGTACTTCGGTTTCCTCGCACAGATAAAAAACATTGGGCTGCCTTCAGGCCCAGGCCTCCCTTGCAAAAGAGATCTGTGATTTCAATGGGATTTGCCTGGTTAAATGATATGACCAATATCAACAATACAAACCTAACAAAGTTGTTTCACTTTCAATCACCTATGTTGTCTTAAAATGCATTAATAAAATTAATGAATATGTTTTTCCTTTTGCGTATTTAATTTGACAACATATATGAAATCTTGGTAGCTTACAGTTGCCCTTGTTTAAAGAGCACACTTTTATCTGTATTTAAATGAGTTTTCCTTTATTTAAGCAATGCACTTTTCCTTTGCTGGTCATCATCATTCCTAGTTGGATAATGTCTCCGTATTGTGAACGAGCTTTTACGTGTTTGATATTGTGTTTGTGTGTAGAGACTGGAACGATGTGTTGGAATCGTCCAGGCACTGACCAATGGGCTTTCAGAGCGAGAGGCCAACGATGCACTCACTGCCAACGTAAGAAGCACATGTTAATGCAACTACTCCTATGACAAATATTGTGTCTAGTACTATGACCAGTACTACATTATAAATATGAGGAACTCCATAGTAATATTAAGACAGGAGCTTCTTTAACAACAAGTCCTGCACTTAATAATTTTTGATGCTGTACTTATTTTATTTTTTCATAAAACTTGACTTAAATATATTTCTTTATTTAAAAATTTCCCAACTTTGTTAATTTTTTCTGTAGACTGAGTGTTTTGTATATTGTTTAGTTTTGCATTAAGTCTTATTTTCTTATTGCTGTAGCAGAAGTTATTGTAAGATGGGTTTTGTATCTGTTCTTATGCTTATGAGATTTTGATGCGTAAGTTTTTTGTGAGGGTTCATTGTGACTGTACGACATTAATAAAAAATAATAACTTATGTTTACCTGTTTGGCAGGTTTGTAAAGGCCAACAGCAGCATGAGGAGGTCTGTCTTGGTTTGTTTACACTTGTCCTCATGGAACCAGCCCAGGCTCAGAGGGTGAGTCACCTCTGCATATTAAGTATTTTTTTACATACTTGTGGCTGCAGTATCATGACTTCAGCTCTGTGTGTTTTTCTTGGAACAGTGTTTCAGAGATCTGACGCTTGTGAATAGAGATGGAATGAACATAGTTCTGGTAAAGATCAACCAAATACTCATGGAAAAGTTCTTAAAACTGCAGGATGTTCCAAGAACACAGGTAAACTCGATTGTTATACAAAAAAATGCGCAGTAATGAAATTGTTTATACAAGTACTTGGAATGTTGTGGTTATTAACAATGGGGTTCATGTGTACAGCTAGTGTGGCTGGTCAGAGAGCTGGTTAAGAGCGGAATAATTGGCGCTGATGGTGTCATCATGACGCTCCTGAAACAGATTGCAGGTCCAACTCTTTTGCGTCACATCTGTTATGTAAAAGTAAAAAAATCAAGCTGTATCTCTATGTAATGCTGTTTTTTTGCTTTCTACAGGTGGAGACATCTCCACAAAGAATTTATGGTTGGCTGAAAGTGTCTTGGACATCTTGCAAGAGCAAAAGTAAGTTTCACTCACATTTACTGTATAAATATTGTCACTTGTAGTATAAAGCAATAAAAAATAGAAAACCCACTTCTTTCTTCTTACTAGCTACACATTTACAGAGTGCTGTTATTTAGAAGCAGTTGAACATTTTTGTAATGAAGTAGCTGAATTGTTCTTTTGAAGGGAGTGGGTGTTGAAGAGTGGGATGCTAATAGCGATGTCAGTCTACACCTACCTTCGTCTAATTGTCGACCATGGAGTCCCAAACCTGTTGCCTCTGCGCCAGAAAGAAGTCGATTTCTGCATCAGCATGCTGAGGGAAAAGGTAGGAACTAAAGAGACTAGTAGCTGTTTTTAATTATTTTTTGTCGTCACATTGCTAACCTCATGGGTTTGTGTCTCTGTAGTTTATGGAGTGCCTCATCATTGGCAGAGATCTGATTCGCCTGCTGCAGAATGTTGCTCGGATCCCAGAGATGGAGTTGCTGTGGAGAGACTTGTTGCACAACCCACAAGTTCTTAGTGCTCAGTTCACTGGTAAACTGCAATGTCCATAATTATCAGTTTACATAAAATTATGTTTTTGTTTGTGCTACATTTAATTTCAATAAATGCTAAACCAGCTCTGTTTTTCTATACTGATCGTCAAACGCGTGTGATGTAATTTCTCCAGGTATACTACAGCTTCTAACGGCTCGAACGTCCCGTAAATTTCTTGCCTGTCGACTCACACCAGACATGGAGACTAAGCTGCTTTTCATGACCTCCAGGGTAAAACCTAGCTTCTGGCATGTGTTTCTGTTTGCCTCTCCATCTGTAGTGAGGTTTTTCTTTCTCCACTCACAAGTTTCTGTATTTCCACATACGTGCAGGTGCGTTTTGGGCAGCAAAAGCGGTATCAGGACTGGTTTCAGAGACAGTATCTGTCTACAGCAGAGAGCCAGTCGCTGCGGTGTGATCTGATCAGATACATCTGTGGGGTCGTCCATCCGTCCAATGAGGTGCTGAGCTCTGATATCTTGCCACGCTGGGCTATCATTGGCTGGTTACTTACCACCTGCACGGTAAGAGGACACTGTCAGAGGCTGCAAGTGTGAAAGTTACACTCAATTAAACTTGATAACTTATATTAATTTTACTTTTCTGCAGTCAAATGTGGCAGCCTCCAATGCCAAGCTGGCTCTCTTTTATGACTGGCTTTTTTTCAACCCTGAAAAAGACAGCATCATGAATATAGGTAACATATGCACACAATAAATGTATGCATTTACAGGACGTTGACTGATTCGAATTGAAACCTGTAGCCTGAGCTAAACCTTCAAGCAGGCCAATGCAGTGTCACCACAAGTCTAAACCTGACATCAGTTTTTTTTACTTAATGCTGTAGCTTTTTTGTTTTTATTAATCTTTCACTCATGGAATTAGTGTGAAGTAATTAACTCTGAAGAGCAAAGACCAGTTGATGCAAAGCCAAGAACACAAATCCAAGAGCTGATGAGATTCAGGGAATTCTACTGATGTATTGCTGCCTCGGACAAATTCATGTAACTGCAAGAAACTCACTTAGGGTTATGATAAACTTCCAAGATTGCCATGCTACAAATTAATGTTTGGTTTTATGTCCTGTTTCTCCAATATCTGTATGACTATTCACCGTAACAATATATTTTCAGTTAAAATTAATTTATTACAACATATTAATGTGGTCCACTTAAAAAAAAAAGGCAGATTTATTTGTTCAGACTTGACTGACTTCTGTTGAGACCCGTATAAAAATTGACTAAAATGACAGTGTTCATGCTGATTTTTATTTTATTTTTCCAGAACCAGCCATCCTGGTGATGCATCATTCCATGAAACCTCATCCTGCCATCACGGCTACACTGCTGGACTTCATGTGCCGAGTATAATGCAACCTAAATACTAAAACACAGACAAATATTGAAAATACTCTACTGAGAAAATGTTTCCAAGCAATGGCAATGACTCCTGTTATTTACTCCCCTCTTCTGTTTTCTTCATTCCTCCTCAGATCATTCCTCACTTCTTCCCTCCGTTAGAGTCTCAGGTCCGTCAGGGTGTTTTTAATTCCTTAAACTTCATCATGGAGAAGCGAGTGCTGGCGTAAGAAATGCACAAATTTGTCTTTGTATTATGTATATATATATACAGTATCTGTTTTTAATCTTACACTAAACATTTTTATGATTATTTATTTTAGTCACCTCGCTCCTTTGTTTGATAATCCAAAACTGGACCGAGAACTTCGATCAATGCTCCGAGAGAGGTTCCCTGAATTTTGCAGCCCGCCATCTCCTCCCACTGAAGGTATTACATGCCTTATTCTTAACTTATTCAAAAACACACTCCATCAAAGATTACATTTATGCCAAACACAAAAAGCTGTTTTTTGTTTTTTTTTACATTAGAACACAAGAGGAAATGTGTTTTAATGCACCTTTTAAATCAGTAAAAGAACAAATAAGCCTTTAAAACATTAAATGTTTGCATGTCCTACAGTCAAAATGGAAGAGACTGTTTCCATGGAGATGGACAACCATGTGCTGGATAAGGAGGAGAGTTGCTATGACAACACAGAAGCTGCTTTCAGTGATGACGAGGAGGAAGTCAACAACAAAGGTAGCACAACGAGTGATGGTGACTGCATCAGTAACTAGTTCAGATGTGTTAAATTTAGATAAACTTACTGAAGTGCATCAAAGATGATCTAGATTTGGTTATTTGGTACAAACCAGTTAGAGATTAAAGAGTTTAAACCATTTTAGGCTTAATAAATGTAAAACTGTTTTTGTTGTGTAATAATTTAAATAATTCAGAACTACCGTAAAGTAAAAAGTTATTGAACATTATTAATCAAGTTTGCTATAAAATAGTACAACTCCAACTGGGTCCACTTCAACCCATTACTATGTGCTAAACATGTTAACTAGTCCAAATGGTTGTAATGGCTCAAAGGTAAACTGGACTGTTTTAGAGATGCACGTTTCAGGTGTGCTGCGGCTTTATTGTTTCCTTTTTAATAAGCTGAGTGCGGTAATATCACGCCATCTGTCGACCAATCACTGTGCAGGAAAGAAGAGAGAGTTCAGGTTCCATCCAATCAAAGAGGCTGTGATGGAGGAGCCTGCTGACATCACACCCTGGTTAGACCAACTAGACGACACCATGAAGGAGAAAGTACAACAAATTCAGAAGACCAGGTGAGATGCAAACTCCTCCTTCAGAGCCTTAAACCAATGTTTTAAACAAAATCTGACATTTACAACAAACTTCCCTTCTCAGTGACACGGAGACTCAGTGTGAGGTGATGCAGGAGATTGTTGACCTTATCCTGGAGGTCAGTTTACTTCTATTTATATTTCCGTGTTACACCTCAAAATACTATTTTATATATACAAATTTATTACCAACTTCCTCCAACTTCAGTAGTGATATGAAAGATTAGCATAAATAAGCTCAGGTGTTTGCAGGTGCCTTTACTATCAATGAAAAGCCTATCAGACACATTAACACCCAAACAATCAGTAATTTCACTAATATGTGGTATTGAAATAGAGTTGCATTCGAGCCCCAAAAATCCAATCTGACCCGACCCCAGCCTGTAGCCATCATTTCCAAACCCGACCCCCCAACATTTTTAATTAAGCTTTGACTGCTAGTTATTAACGGTCGGTGATGCGCGGCTGAATAAAAGGGGAAGAAGATCGGAGCTGATGGTGTGTTTGTCCTTTCATGGCCGTCAAAGCGCATTAAAACCTTTTTCTGCCTGCATTCTACATTATTCAGACATGGACCGCTCTGACACATCTGCTTTGGGATCGCACCTGTTTGGGTCATCGGCCGCGCGCGTCCGCTGAGTGCAGCGGTTGAATGAAAGTCCATTTGGGCAATGGATCGCTTCGTGGCAGTATAAACCCATCTGAAGCTTAACTGAACTTTATTTAACTTTTTCAAGGCCGGTCAGCTTGTGGTGAAATGGCCACGTGCGGTTGGTGATTGTATGGCAAGTCATGTTGACATATAATTGGATTGTGGCTGATGTAATCAAAAGCCCAACACTGACCCGGCCCGTCCATCCAGCATATTATCATGGCCTGGGTCGGGCCCAGGTTAGAAATGACAGCTCTACATTAAAATAGCAATAAACGGATCAGGAAAATATACGTTGAAGCATACTTTGATCTTTAAATTAGTTGTGTTTTTCATGGTGCATGTCCCCTTTGGTAAAATTAGTTCCCGCAGTTCAAACAAGAAATAATTGACTTATTCCTCCAACATGTATAAAATTTAAGTTTCTCTGGTCTAAAATTATTTTATATATTTAACCAGGTAAATCCCTTTGAGATCACAGATCTTTTGCAAAGCAAATAAAGGCAAATATAAAAGATGGAAGGCTTTTAAGTTTAAGTTGTGTAACACTTGGCTATCTGGTGTTGATCCACATAATATTCATCTTTACTCTGTCATTTTTTAAATAATTGATGAGTCATACCATGTTCCTCTGTATTTCAGGAGGACTTTGATACAGAGCAGATGTCAGCTCTGGCTTCCTGTCTGGCTGAACTATTTAAAGACCATTTCAGAGGAGAAGTCCTCCCTGAGGAGATCACTGAGGAGTACGGCTGTTCTCTGATTTGTCTTTCTGTTTGCCTGACTGTGTCCATGATGACCAGTTCCTTTCTGTTCACCGGTTTGTCTCTCAAGGTCTCTGGAGGAATCGGTGTGTAAACCGGTCTGCCTGATCTTCAGGAACCTGGCCACCATGCAGGAAGACAACAGTGGGTTCTCAGTGCTGCTAGAAATGTTGGCAGAACTTTACCAGAAGCAGCCAAAGATTGGATACCACCTACTGTACTACCTAAAAGCAAGGTGACCTACGTGTCAAGACAACTGACAGATTCAAACATGAGAATATCCAGCACGTGAACATCAAACATCTGTTTGTGTGCGCCAACAGTAAAGCAGCAAATGGGAAGATGATGCTCTATGAGTCGTTTGCTCAGGCGACGGCTCTCGGTGACCTGCACACGTGTTTGATGATGGACATGAAGGCCTGTCAGGAGGATGATGTTCGACTGCTCTGCTACCTCACTCCTTCCATTTACTCTGAGGTAAAGGCAGACATATACAGATGTAGTTCCTTGATAGAACAATGCTCCAATATCCCCCCTGTGCAGAAATGTTCACACTTTGTATTTTATGAACTGTCCTCACATGTCCTGAAATGTTGGTCTTACCTTCAGATGTACACAAACACGCACTCTGACACAGATCTGTTGTTTTCAGTTTCCAGATGAAACGCTTCGAAGTGGCGAGCTGCTCAACATGATTGTAGCTGTTATAGACTCACTGCAGGTAAGACTTCAGTCTTTGCAGTCCTGGGGCAGGCACCTTAGTATATTACCTGTCCAATAATCTGGATCTTATCTGTTTGTGTGCAGTTACAGGAGCTAATGTGTCATGTGATGATGGGAAACTTGGTGATGTTCCGTAAAGACTCGGTTCTCAACATCCTCAGTAAGAAAAAAAAAATTACAAAGTGTCTTATATTGGTGTTTGGACTACCTTGTCTATATATCCTGTTGTTTATTTTTAATCTTTAGTTCAGTCTCTGGACTGGGAGACCTTTGAGCAGTACAGCACTTGGCAGCTGTTTTTGGCCCACAGTATCCCCCTGGAAACCATCATCCCCATCCTGCAGCACCTCAAATATAAAGGTGACTACTAAAAAACAGTTCACTCAAGAAAGCTTCAAAGAGACGCTCTTGTATAGTTTTTCCAGACTTTTTTTGTGTTTTTTCTTAGAACATCCAGAGGCCTTGTCCTGTTTGCTGTTGCAGCTTCGCAGAGAAAAGTATGGCAAACAAACATTATTTTCAGATAAAGGTTTCAAGTATCTCTTCCTATTCTTATAAAAAAAAAAAAACTGTAAATGTGTTTATTCCTTTAGGCCAAGTGAGGAAATGGTGAAGATGGTTTTGAGTCGTCCTTGTCACCCTGAGGACCAGTTCACCACAAGCATCCTCAGGCACTGGGCGTCAAAATATGACGACACGTTGGGAGAACACATCAAGACCCAGCTAATCAAGAACAACAACCAGCCTCGCAAAAGACAGAGGTGAGGAGTCAAAAGCCTCTTTCACAAAACACTTAAAGCCAGAACTTAGATGCTTTCTGGCCGCCTTATTGTGATTTCTGAATAAACTGAGGTGGTGAGGGAGGTCTAAGGCTTGATGTGCATTTTGTGGCATGAAAATACAGTAGGTAGTAACAGAGCCGAAACAGTCGACATGGGAAAAGGGGAACCTACTTTGCAACTGAACAATGTGATGAAGGGATTTTATTTGGTCTGTGTGACCACCAGGCTGCCGGATTAAACAACAAATTCATTACTGAGAGAAGATCAAGGATTATGCACAATAACTTTATATTTAGATAAAAAAATGATATAATCACAAAGATGTAAGATAAACTGAAAGAAGTCATTATGTTTTTAAAATGACACGGTTACGTGATGCCAGCTTCATTTTTGGAAGCTCTTTGTGCAGGACGTGACTGGCTTCATCTGCGATTTATGAACGGCCTGAGGCAGCACAAATTTGGACTGGTCTTTACGGCCTTTTTGCAGAAATGTTAAGTGAAAGTGCCTTAAAAAGAGTTTGTGAGGAGGTGGAGGTCGCATTGACCCACACGTTTCATATTCCAGTCTGGAAAAGACTGGAATTTAAATTTCGTTTCCAGACTTACTTTTTTTTTTGTAGTTAAAAAAAGTTGTACAATATTAGCATATCTTAAAACATTTGATTTTAATTTAAAAATAAGGGTGTCCCCCAAGGCTGTGTCCTCAGACCTCTCCTCTTCATCATTTACCTCCTTCCTCTAGGTCACATCTTCTGCAAATTTGGTGTCCATTTCTTCCACTGTTATGCTGATGACACCCAGCTCTACTTGTCAACAAAACCAAACTCCACCCACCCACCCTCCATCCTCACCGACTGTCTCAATGAGCTAAATCATTGGTTTTCTAACAATTTTCTTCAAATAAACAGTGATAAGACAAATCATTCTCGTCAGTACCAAAAATTTCAAAATCAAAACATCTTCTCATCCCACTTAACAACTCTCTGCTATCCCCCTCGCCTCAGGTCAAGAGTCTTGGTGTCATCCTCGACACCACTCTTTCCTTCACTTCACACATCAACAATGTTACTCTGTCTGCCTATTTCCATCTCCGAAATATTAACCGTCTCCGCCCTTCTCTCACACCCCGCTCCACTGCCATCCTTGTGCACAGCCTTGTGACTTCCCGGATTAACTACTGCATCTCCTTTCTTTATGGCCTCCCCAACAAATCTCTTCATAAGCTACAGATGGTCCAGAACTCAGCTGCCCGTGTCATAACTCAAACCTCCTCCTATAATCACATCACTCCACTGGCTCCCGGTTAAATCACGCATCGTCTTCAAAATTCTTCTTCTCACTTTCAAAGCTATCCACACCCTTGCCCCTCCTTACCTATCTGACCTCCTACACATCTCCATCTCCTCTCGCTCTCTCAGATCCTCCTCTTTGCGACACCTCCATGTACCCTCTGCCTGCCTCTCCACCATGGGGAGCAGGGCCTTCACCTGCTCTGCCCCTCATCTCTGGAACTCTCTACCGCCAGACTTGCAAAACACCACCTCTGTTTCTCTATTCAAGATTGCTCTGAAAACACATCTCTTTAGACTCGCTTATCCTTAACTTTGCTTTATGTATTTTATATTTCAATGTTGCTTTATGTATTTTATATTTCAATTTATTCCTGTTGATCTTTGCACTGTGCTTGTTGTTTGTTTTTACACAATCTTTCTGATATGTTTCTTGCTGTAAAGTGTCCTTGGGTGTCCTGAAAGGCGCTTTTTAAATAAAACGATTAATATAATGGAAGATGGTTTAGTTTTCTGTGTAGCAACTGAAAGGCAACGTTTTATTTTTGTCTTCAGTCTCCGAAGTTCGAGCAGTAAACTGGCTCAGCTGACCCTGGAACAGATCTTAGAGCACTTGGACAACCTGAGATTGAGTCTCAGCAACACAAAGAACAATTGTCAGTACACACACTTGAATTGTTTTAGATCAATAACCGATGACGTACAGCTCAGTAAGTCCCTGTTTGTCTCTGCCAGTTTTTACTCAGACACCGATCCTTCAGGCTCTGCAGCACGTTCAGGCCAGCTGCGATGAAGCTCATAAAATGAGGTGCTCACATGCAAAACTAATGATAATCATGATGTCACATCCATTCATGGTGACTAATGCTTTTCACATCACTTCCTCTCCCTGCAGGTTCAGTGATTTATTTGCTCTTGCAGAGGAGTACGAGGACTCTCAGTCAAAGCCTCCAAAGTCTCGGCGAAAAGCTCCGGCCTCGTCGCCTCGCTCCAGAAAAGGAGTAGCTCCGCCCACCAACAACGAGGAAGAGAGCGGATCCAGTAGTGCCTCGGTACGTATCTTAGCTACATGATTTTGACATTAATAGTGCTCTGGACAACTAAACTTTGTGTTTGATCAAGTAACAAGTTTCAGACTTGTTTGTTCAGGCTGTGGCGAATAAATCTCTTGATTTACCTTTCTGTATTTAAGTTTGACTTTTTGTACCAACGTAGGCATGTTGGGCCAAATTTCTGGAGACAAAACAACAGTATCTTACTTCAACACGTTGGACTTGCACAATTTGTTACAGCTATCGTATCATACATTAACAAGTTAAACAGTTTATGTCTTATTGCTTTACTTATTGCTCTTTCCTTTCTATTATGGATAAACAAATTTGCCCATTGTGAAATCAGTTGATGTGTGTGACCACCATGCAAGTCTTACCCGTACTCGATTTCTATTTATGTTTTGAACTGATCAGGTTTTGCAGTGACGTTGTTAAATGTGTTGTAGGAGGAGGAGGACTCGAAGCCCAAAGCTCCTAAAAGGAAGCGGAAAGGCTCGTCGGCGGTTGGCTCCGATAGTGACTGATGGATCCTCAGACCGATCACATATAAGCCAACAGAGACCGCCTGCCAACCAGCTGTTCAACCTCTGGAGGAGGCCTGAGATGGGCTCAGGGATGAGTGGACTGTAAACCCATGTTGTGAACTAACTTTTACATGACGAGACTGATTCTGTTCCCATGGAGACAAATTCTGACTGCTGGACTCCAAACAGGCCGGCTGTTCTCCCAGGATGGCCCTGGAGGAGAAGCACAAACTCTTAAACTAAATGGACTGATTTTAACAGCGAACACAACTCCAACAGTGGTGACGAGTGTGACCCCTGTCCTTTTTTTTCTCTCTGCGGGGGGCCATGGACTTATATTTTGGAGCATCTTGACTTCCTGCTGTTTTTAGCAGCTCCTGCCTGTTTGTTTCACTGCAGTAAAAACTCTTCATCTGTGTTCAATCATGTCAGATGAATTCTTGATAAACAAAACCACACAAACTGATGGTTTCAGGGTGTCATATGTCTGTTACCGGGTATTCTAATGGGCGGAGGGGTGACGCTGCTCTTAAGCACTATGGCACCACAGTCAGTGAACATTTGTCAGTGTCTTTTGAACATTTTACTGGTGTTTGCAAAAACTTGTCAAAATGTGTCTCTGGGGCCTCTGATCTTTTCTGACTTTTGGTAAAAACAAATTGACGATTTGATTACCGCAAAAATATTTTTTTATGGTCAAAGCATCTTTTACAAGAATTAATTTTAGGGTTTTTTTAAAAGTGGAAACCAAGACTTCACCAGTTCAGAGTCTGAACTTTTCAAAGTGGTCAGAAAACAGCAGAAGTCCTTTCTTAAAATATTATTTACGGCCATGTGTCATAACTACGCCTTAATTGGTTCAGTGAGCTGTTTTCCTAGAGGACATGAAATACAATAAATAAACAAATGGGGAACGGATGATGTTTGCTGAAGAGCTACAAAATCCCCACAGACACAAAAATTAAAATATAAAAAAAAAAATCATAATTTTGTGTAATTTTTATCTCATTACCCTGAAGAAAATAACGAGGCATTAAATGAGAAAATACATATAAAAGAAACCGTTATTAAAGGTGTATCATTCCTTTAAGGTTTATGAAACAACTGTCAGTTTGGTCAAACTCTGAAGGTATCGTTACAAGCAATCTTATACAATTTTGCAATATGTGTTGTGACTCTCGGCTACTACCACATCAAAATTTAGCTCAATAGCTTAGGAAATGACTGAATTATAGCCATTGTTGTCTAATGTGGATTAGCTGTAGCAGCCATCTTCAGCTTGATTGACTCAAAATGTTAATCAGCTGGATAACGTCCATTAATTATTTTCTGGAAGTTTCATTGAAATCTTTCCTCTGGCTCATGAGATATAAACAGTTGACACGAAAGATCTCAAGCAGGTGTTTTTCAATGACACTCAGCTACCATACCAAATTTTAGCACAGTGATTCTGTTTTACTTAATTATAGCCCTTTTATGTTTTCGAAGCTCAGTTGACTGTCTGGATCTTGGTTGGCTTCAAAAGTTCATCAGTACAGGTCCAGCCAATGATAATTTCCTGAACATTTTATCTAAATCCATCCAGTGGTTTGAGATATTTTACTGACAGATGAGAGTTAATTCCAAATAATGGTAAAATGTTTAACAAAGGTCTTGTGCAGTCTGCACTTTTCGGTTAATGTTTCATAGAATTTTAAAAGCTATAAACTTTTTTTTGTAACCATCCTGCTGTCCTTGGGTCAAAATGAACCATGAGGCCTCAGCAGAAGGGTCAAGGTCAGTTGGCGGTGGCAGCCATCTTTAATCGGGTTGCTTTTTTTCATTCAACCTGTATTTAGACAGGTAAATCCCATTGAGCCTCGAGGACTCATTTACAAGAGAGACCTGATTTCAAATGTTAATGTACATCCAGTGATTACTCCCTGCAAAATTTCTAGTTCGTGAGATGTTTTGTTAAATGTTTGATGTGCAAAAACAAAAAAATGGTGGGTGTTTCTCAACAAATGAACATGCAGCTTCCATCTAACAAGCAGAAGACTAAAAACAATTTCCTTTTTGATTTCTCGTTTCCTCTACAGTGTATTGCTTTAAATTATAAAAAGTTACTATGTTATTCAGTTTAAACAAATTCAATTTTAGATCTTTTAAAAGAAGATTACCTGTCTATTGTTTAGTATATTTTGTTTGACGGGTTTAAAGATGTAAAGGCACCTGAATGATGTTTGAAGACAAATTGACAGCAGGTGGTTTTAGAGTCTGAGTGATGGACAGGGTCTCATTAAGGTCTGATTGGATTCACCTGCTGCTCATATTTAAACTCCAGCTGAGTTGCTCTAACCTTTCACTGGTCTGAGAAGCTCCTTCACTCAGCTGCACAATTCAAGTTGTTGCTTTTAGTTAACCTTCAGAGACTTGATCCACCGTTTTATCGAGAGTAAAACGTCCAGTTAATTAAGGTAAACTGTTGATATTATAGGTTAGTCACTGTGGTTTAGATGGTTTATCTGAAACGGTTTTTTGTTTTTGCACCCTTAGACACGATGTCTGCGGTGAAAACCGGACTGTCCCTGCGGACCTTAGCTCTGACTCCAGAGAGAATCCCCAGCTTCCTCGTCCCTTCTCGCGGTCGCTTCCTGGCCTCTCCGCGGCTCCGCAGGTGCTCCACTGACCGGACCAGACTCCTGTCGGACTCTGACTCAACGGACGCCAGCCCACCTGTGACCCCGACTGGCCTCATGGCGACCTCTCCTCGTCTGCTTCGCACACCCACACCGCGTCTGGGCCGTCTGCGCCGCGCCGCCGCTACAACAGAGGACAACACGGACGCGACGGTGCAAGCGGCAATGTCTCAGGTGCACGTGCCCAAGGTGACCACACCTTATGGCTTTCGAGCTGTTTTGGCCACGAGTCCGTGCACAAATGGGACTTTGTTCCACAGGAGCAAACCCGTGAAGGTGACTGTCACAGATGCTGGAGCCCAGGACCCAGAGACTCCCCACAGTCCAGGTCCTGATGGGTCCCGGGCCAGCATCCGGCCCATTAAGTCTCTTGGTCTGCAGGTGATGAAGGAGCTGAAGAAACCCGTAGCTGCTCTGAAGGCTCTGAGCCCCTCATACCGGATCACTTCACCCCGCTAGTGGACCACCCTTGATAAATTTAACTATGAATCGAGTTTTTATTTTGATGATTTTAAATAAAGGTTTTGATAAATTTTTGGTCTAAAATGGTTTTTACTATAGCTACAGAAACTGGCTTTGACAAAATGAGAATAGTCTTAAGTTGCACTGTAGAACCTGTACTAACATATAATCACATACTTCACAATTTTCACAGCAGCTCTTATAAAATCTACTCCAGCACAGGGGGGGGGAAGTATAAGAAACGGTTACAATTTTATTTCCGCGCTGTTAAGTATGTATCTTTTCTATTTAACCAGGAAAAAATAACTCATTGAGATTAAAACCCCCCTTTTTTTTTTTTTCCCAAGAGTGACCTGGCCAAGAAGTGGCATAAAACATACAACAAATCCAAAATACTAAACCAAATACACACATGTATATTCAGGAGAAATCTCAATTACACATTAGAGCAATTACAGGAGCCAAGTGATCGAAGCTCTCATTCCTTTAGAATTGATTTTAATTGTCCCAACGTAACTAATAACCTTTAAATCCTTCTGCAGAATATTCCAAGTAGCAGGGGCGAAATACTTAAAAGCCTTTTTAGAGTTCAGTTCTGACCTTTGGGACCTGCATCAAAATGTCCTGAGAGTGCAGACTATAATTGTTAAAAGTTCTAGATAAAAGTGAACATAAATATATAGGAAGATGCCCAAGGATGCATTTATAGACAAGTGAGAGAGTCTGCGGTCAGTCAGAGGGACATTTTGCTGTAGCATACAAAGTGCAGTGATGTGTTCGATAGCCACAGTCATAAAACAAGAGGGCACAATGATTTACAGCATATATATCTATAACTGCTCTTAAAGCCAAAACTTCATTCTTGAATTTTAGAATGTTGTACGAAAACTCATTTGCTAATATTTCGGAAAACTACTTAAATCCTTTATGGCACCCTGAGTTTGTTTTATACACCAATTTTAACTGCATTTTTACTGTAGTTATTGTCTGTACTTTATGTTCCGTCTGGAACAGGTCTCGCTTGTAAATGAGTCCTCGTGGCTCAATGAGACTAACCTGTATAAATAAAGGTTGAATGAATGAACTGGATTAATTTTGGTCAATTTCTGACGTTAAAAAGTCGCGACCAAAGAATGTCCAAATGGGCGCGACTCAATGACGTCACAACCTTATGACACCGGAAATGTAGTTTTTGTATGCTAAATTGGCTTGTAGTTGTGGCGGTAAGTCTGAGTTTCAGCTCAGCAGTGTGATCATCAACATTATATTTATTCTAAATGATACAGAGCCCATAGGGAGCTGGACCAGGACACGATCCGAACCCCGCTGTTCTCGGAATTAGTGGCCTCGCGAGCTAATTTAGCCGCTACTGCTAGCGGTGGGACAGTTGCTAGCTACTGTAGCCAGTGTGTGCGGTGCTCTTGACCGCCTTAACTCTTCGAAACCCGGCGTGAGTTTATCTTTAGGCGCTAATCAGAGCTAACTGCTAAATGACAGGAGCAAGTAGCAGTTAATGACCATGAACGAGCTCAAGCGCCTCTCGAACATGGTGTTTTCTGTGTTGATAAGAGTATTTTTAGCAGCTTTTGGTGTTTCACAACTTATAACCGTTTTTTCGATGCCAACAGGACCGGTGTAAATGTAAGAGCTTCGCAGTGCAGCTGGAATTTAATAAAAGTGAGTTAACCCGCAGTTTTCTTCGAGCTTCATTAAGTATTTTTGTCCTAGTTTATTTTAAAGAGTGTCTGAACAATTTAGCAGACAAGCTTTCTTTCTCGATATTCAACAGAAATATAACGGGTGAAGATGCACTTGCATTTTTAAACACTACTGTTTATACAAAACCCTAATGACCTTACTGTTGCGCTATCTATCAATTATTCAGGGGTCAGAGGTCATGTTTCTCCACAATGAACCCAGTCCGCAAACGCCTCAAACTGAGCCCGTCCAAACCACAAAATGCTCTTGGCAGCACCAGCACTGTCCAGAGCTTTGGACCATCTCAGCCCCACTCCCATGATGCTTCGGTGCTGCCAGGAACCAGTGCTGAGGAGGAGGAGGAGGGATACCTGCTGGTGGAGGAAGACACCACTGATTCCAGCCTTGTCATTACTATGGGTAAAACACACACTTTTATGTGAAGATATAGCTCCTCATTTAAAACGTAACCGGAACCCCAAAGACTTAACACCCTCCCAGATCAATCTTCATAAACAGTGAAGATCTTTGTACTGATTCCTGAAATGTCTGTGTCTCAGAAGACAGTCAGATGAAGGTAAAAACAGCGAGGAGGAAGGCGCTGAAGAAGAAAAAGCAGACACTGAATGAGGAAGGAACTGATGAGAAGTGCAGGACGTCAGAAACTGAGGAAGAGGAGGAGACGGGAGTGGAAGTGGAGATTGACACCCAGCTAGACCAGTCACTGGAGACAAAGTCCAAACAACACAACCTTACCACTGTGAATGTCAAGAACATCATCCATGTGAGTTCCTGTACCATTTTCTGAAGTGATTAAACATAAAGGATAAAATATGATTAGAGGCCATTTTCTTCAGTAATATGTGACTCAGATCTTTAAAACCATGACAGCTGTGCTTTATGTTTTGAGTTTTAAAAGCTCAACCTCTGGCTTACAGGAAGTGATCACCAATGAGCATGTGGTTGCAATGATGAAAGCTGCCATCAATGAAACCGATGCAGTCCCTCCATTTGTGAGTTTCTATCTGATGTCTGGCAGACACTCTCAGTCAAGCTACAACGTTTCAGTCACCTTCTTGTTAACAAGTTTTTAACATGAACTTTTTCTGTTTATAGGAGCCTAAAATGACTCGATCCAAATTAAAAGAAGTGGTAGAAAAGGGAGTGGTGAGTTTTTGTTTAAATAATTCATTAATCTTAAATCCCAACTGAGAAGTGGGTTCTTCATTTTTTTAATACATGTCTTTAGGTGATTCCCACCTGGAACATCTCACCCATTAAGAAAAGCAGTGATGTCAATAAGGTAAATGCAACTATCAGTCCAGTCTACCTGTTTACCACCAACCTTGCACTTTATCAGTTGGCAGTAGTTAAAAGTCCTACAGTTTCTTAAAAATTAAAAATAATTTGTCTTCAGGCTCCTCAGTTTGTGGACATTCCTCTGGATGAGGAAGACTCATCTGATGAAGAATATCGCCCTGATGAAGAAGAGGAAGACGAAACAGCTGAAGATGTGCGACTGTGCTTTGACTTTCATTGTAATGCTTATCGATTAATTATTAATCTTTTTTTAATGTGTGTGCAGACATTCCAGGAGAGCGACATGGAGAGCACAACTTCGTCTCCAAGAGGGAGAAGATTAAACAAATCGGAGGAGGACAGCTGCAGCCCCTGGCAGGTAACAGCTGCTTTTTATTTAAAACTAAAAACAGAGTTAAGGCTATATTTAATAAACTAAAAAGCAGGACATGTGAGTTTCTAGATTAGCTGTCCCCCAGTTTATATCTTTCATAAACGTTTCCTCCCTCTGCTCAGACTTCTCGAGTTCGCTCCAGACGTGTGAAGGTGGGGTTAATGGGACCTCCCCCTCCCCCTAAAGCCCTGCCGCCTAAAGGTGTGATTGACAGCTTATTTCTGGAGAAACTTCATGCTGTTGAAGAGGAGCTGGCAGATTGTATGGATCCCTATCAGGTAGCTAAAAGAACTGTAGGGTAACAACAAACACACGGGACAAATATGAGTTGAGCTGTTCACAATGAGAGTAAACTTCATCTACAATCTTAATTCACGATAAAAAAATTAACTGGCTTCTTATTGTTTGTCTATCGCTCTCAGCGTCTGTCTGAGTCTGAGGATGAGTCGGGTGTGATGGCGTACCGGACTAGGTCTAAGCGTCCTCTTCGAGACGTCCCGCTGGGTCAGCTGGAGGCAGAGCTCCGAGCCCCTGACATAACTCCGGACATGTACGACTCCAACTCTGCGCCTGAGGACAAAGATTGGACTGATTGGTTGTTAGGCCTGATGAGCTCAGATGTAGGCAACGAAGGTAAGTATTTGTCTTATTGGTGGGTCCAAAAACACATTCCTATAAGTTCAAGTTGTGTTTATTTGTCATATGCAAGGTTAACACAGGGTTAACATTACAATGAAATGCTTAAGATGAGAAGAACCGATTTGACTCACTTAAAAACATCAAAGAACAAATCTACAAGAAATACTAAAAGCATGCAATAAGGGTGCACAAAAAAAAAGTACCAAAAAGTGAAAAAGTAATTATAATATTTACAATGTCCTAAAGAGAGATCTTGAACAACAACATGGTAGAATATAATGGTGTAGCAGGATGAATTTGAATGAATACGTATTTCAAGGTAGTAATATAAGCTAAAATGCACATTATATTACTATAATATTGATACTATAATACTACTATACGATATATACGATATGACTATACAATATATACTACTATACGATACTATAATATTGATATTTTTAAAAAAAAAAGGTTGGGTCCAAAAGCACATTCCTGTAATGTAAATATTAAAATAAAAACAGTCACATTGCCCGATTCCAGTCAACCCCATCAAAGATCAGTGTAGCATCCCACGAACAGTGTGTCACAGATTCTCTTATCATTCCAACAGAGGAGTGTGATGATGAAGATGATCCAGAGTACAACTTCCTGGCTGACACTGACGAGCCTGATTTGGAGGATTACCGTGATGACAAGGCTGTCCGCATCACAAGTCAGTAGTGACACAGCAAAATTTAATTTCAATCCAGACCAGATCCTCTTTTTAAAATTTTTCTAGCTTTTCTTCTCAGCTGTTACGCTGATCTAATCTCACGTTGTTTGTCTGTCCTCCAGAGAAGGAGGTGAACGAGCTGATGGAGGAGCTGTTTGAAACGGTACAAACTCTGCTGCATTCATTCATAACATTAGCAGTGATTGTTACACTTACCATATTTTTCGGCCTATAAGTGGTGTTTTTTTGCATAATTCGCGTGCCCTGCGACTTATAGGCTGAAACAACGTATTTATGGATTTTTTTCCCACATTTATAAACTATTTTTTGGCTGTGATATAACCGTTTTCATTCATTCTGACTGAAATTTTTTCACAGTACTATTTTCAGCCACTAGATGGCAGCAGAGTAGTAGTAGTAGGGGCATGGCATGCCGTTGTATCATGTAATAGGTAAACATGGCTATAATGACAAATCTAAAAAAAAATCAAGACAAATAATTGGACTTTATTTATTATACTTTACTTTATACTTTATTGTTTTTGTTTTGAACTTTTTTGAATTTACCATATCCTGGATGAAATCTTCACCAGCTATTAATGCCTCAGTCAGCTTGCCGTAGTCCCCCCCACCTTCATTCTGCTCGTTGCTTGGAGCAAGTCAAACCAGCTGCACCACCCCGGCGAAATGCAGCTAATTTGACCATTAAAGTGCATTTATTAAGTAAAAGTTCAACTGAGACACACCTTTACTATAATTTCAAGCAAACAAATAATTGTTTTTAGGTGTTTATCTTGTTGAATTTTGAAGAAATGCAGAGGCTCGTACCACTGCGCATGCCTGCCGCTTCCGCGAGTCGGGGTTTGAAATACAGATGATTTGACCGTTTGACCGAGACACACCTTTACTATAATTTCAAGCAAACAAATCATTGTTTTTAAGTGTTAGTCTTGTTAAAGTCCTCCCGTGGCCACTATTTGGCAGCCCATCAATTTTTGGCACAACACCGGCCTACATTTCCGGGTTGTCAGCGGTGACGCGTAACGCGACGCGTCAGTGGTGGTGACGCATAATAGACGCGACGTTTATGGCAAAGCGACATATTTATAGATTTTTTCCACTTTTTTTAGACATATTTGGACTGATGTGACTTACAGGGCGGCGTGATGGGTACGGCGGAAAATACGTTAATTTAATTTCAAACCAAGAAAAGGGAACTGTATTAAATTGCTAATGGTCAGTTTTGCACAAAAGTTTCCTACATTTTTCTTCTATCTATACTTAAAGCTAATTTCTACCTTTATCACTTAGTAGTCACCGTAATTAGAAAAACATTATTTTAGGACTGTTTGTTTATACTGTATAGCAAAAATGCTTACAATAATTAGCAGCCTTAAATATTTAGTACATGTCTTAAATTTAGACTCATTGCTTAAAACGGTTTGTTTGGTTTAAATAAATCAGAACGATGTTGCTGTCAATAAAATATGAAGTAGCTGTTTCTTTGGTTTAAGCTTGGTTTTGTGTGTCACTTTGTGTATCTGCATCAGTTGAAAGAGGACCTGGCCGGACAGGAAGTGGATGATGAAGGCCATGAGGAAGAGGAAGAGCCACAGGAGGGAATTCACACTGTTCAGACACACACAGTTGAAGAGCAGCACGTGTATGTAAAACACTAAACAATAAAAACGATATGTATTTTCTGCCTTGATAACTTTTTGTTTACGCTTCAGAAGACCAGCTGATGATGAGGCAGAAGATGAACCAATGACAGAACTGCGTACGGTGAGGCAGCAGCTGACTTTGATCCGGAAGAGGCGGCAGATGAATGCATCGTACAGCACGCATAGTCCAGAACCGTACACACTGAAGCTGAACGCTCGGCAGAAGCAAAGACTGGAGCAGCAGCTTCAACAGGTACAAGAAACACAGGACATTAAAAAAGAAGAGAAGAACCTACTGATTAACTTGCACCAACATGTTCCTCTCTGTTTCTGCTGCCCGCAGCATGTCCAGTTGCTGACTCAGGTCCACCTGCTGACCTCTCCTGTCCTCAGGCTGCACAGTGAAGCTGAGACCACCAGACAATTCCTGGTAACTCCCATAGAAACATGTTTTACTTGATAGAAAAAGTTGTTAAAAATCTGCTTGAATAAGATTAACATTTTTTGCACAACTGCTATAAGATATCAGGACACCTTAATGACAAATTTATTATGAACATGAAGGTGTTTGCTGAATAATTTATTTTCTTGAATGTTGTTGAATCCAAACAAAACGCTGCAAACACTGTTTAGTTTTAAAACGTGTGTGCTTTTACGGTGTTGGTCAGTTTGAGTTGGACGTGCTGGCTCAGAGGGGCGAGCTCGTTGGGTCTGCGGGTCGTCCTGCTTTTCAAAGCGCTTTCAGAGTCTCCAACCTGAAGGGAGCCCTGGAGCTGCTGGAGGAGCTGAAACAGACTCCTATCGACTACCAGCCGCAACACCACAAACCTGACGCCAGAGGACACAGTGAGTAGCATGCAGCTCGGAATCATGGGAGATTTGGGAAACTACTTCCTGTCTTTGTGGTTACTTTCAAAGGATAATTTTTTTTAATGGAAGTCAACGTTCAGGGCTGTGTCAGTTTGTCTGCTGAGAAAATGGAGAATCCATGAATTTCCTTTAAGGGCATTTTGTTGGCAGATCTTTGATGTTCTGAAAAGATCTTAGATTTAAGTGTCCTGGTCTATGTTAGGTATTGATGTTGTAAATGTACTCTTGTCTTTCTGTTTCTGTGTTGTCAGTGCGCTGCTTCCCCGTCATGCCCGCTGAGCTGGCCTGGGTATTAGCTACTCGTCCAGTGTTTCTTTACCCAGAGCTGCTGCCCTGTGCCAGTCTCGACCCGGTTATGTACTGCCCCCGCAGGACGGCGGCTTTCACTGCAGCTGAGGACTGGTAACACAAACACACAAGGATGTTGTTTTTTTTTGTACTTTTGAGGAGCTGGTATTTTACCTAGGCCTGTCGCAATAAACAATAAATCAATTAATGGCACCATAAATGAAAATTATCTACCTCATATTCGTTTATCGGCTTTATTGTTTCTTCGTGTCTCTCTTTTTACTGAAGACACTGGATGACAAAAAGCTCAACTCCGGTGATCTTCATTGACCCCTCCCTTTCTCTTTAAAATCTGTTTTAACCGTCTAAAATCACATTTTTGGGTCGTTAAAAGCAGCTAAGCTATAAGCTAAGCTAATAGCCCGACCTCAGGGAAAAAAACCTCAGTTTTGTCAAAGCTCCAAACTTCACGGTTGAAACCTGTGCCTTTGTGTAAAAAAAATTTATCTGCAAAAAGAAGCTGAGAACTTGTTTACTGATTTTTTTTTTTTAAATTGAAAGCTTTGTGTGAAAATGCTATGCTAAAGAGCTCAAACCACTCCGAGCGGCCGCCATTTTGAGAACCGAAGAGACAGCCCATGTCACGTCAAGGGGCCTCCCTCTCATTTTTCTTAGAGACATGCTGCTTGCTCCCTCACTATCCATCCTTCAGTTCAAATAGTCTTGTACTGCCATCCAGTGGTCAGAAAAGGTTCTACACACAAAATTAACCAAAATTTCTTTTTAAATTTGACAAACTAATTATTGTCAAATTTCAAACAATTTTATCGTTTATCGCAATAATTTCAGAGACAATTAATCGCCCAGCAAAATTTGTTATCGTGACAGGCCTAATCTTACCTGCAGTATACAGATTAGACTAATAAAGAAAAAAACATCTCTTCCACAGCAGACACTAAAGAAAAGCAAACTTTCTTAAAAGTTCTGACCAGTTTTAAACATGTGTCTTTGTTTTATTAGTTTGCTGGTACTTGGACTCAGGAACATGGAGGGAGCATGTGACCCACCTAAGCTTGTGTCTCAGTTTCTGCTGAGGAAAACAGTGGTACAAGTCCGACGGAGGATCCTGCAGTGCTGCAGACCTGGTACACCTGATAACATTGTCAAGGTATTCCAGTCCAACTCACTCAGAGTTGATTAGCAGCTGTCTCATCTCAGAGTGTTTAACTCTGTGTCCTCTGCAGGCCTTCAGGTATCAACAGGTGGTGTGGTCGATGCCAGTGGCCTGCCGTCATGTCGATCCAGCGGTGCGACGCCCTCCTGTGGAGAGAGAACAGACTGTCCTGCCTCTGTGGCTCATGGTATCACAGTTGATTGTCTGCATGGTTATAATTGCAGTCTGTAGTTAAAGTGAAGGAGTTCATCTAAGGCTACACAAAAGTAGAAAAAAGCTTTAATTGCAAGAATCTCTCCTACCTACGAACAGAGAAATGGTTGTTTACATTTTTCCCCGTGGCAGCTCTCTTTTTGTAATTGCCACAAAACTCTTAAATGTTGGATTACTTTTGTAATTTGCAATAAATGCAAAAAGTCAAGTTAGTGGGTTCGTAGTTTGAATAACAGTGTGCAGAAGTTGAAGTACATCATTCTGAAGGTTCAACTAATTAAAAATGTTTGTTCACCCAGCGAAGCCTCCCTGTCATCTATCCAACCATCAAACACTTCAACAACCCATCTGGCTCTGGCCCAGAAGCTCCGCCCTCCTGCAGGAGGGGTAAGGCCCGTCACAGTCACCTGGCTTTTGTGCGCTCCGCCCCTGACACCTACAGCTTCCCACCTGGGACCAGATACCCGCCTCGCCTCCCCACAAACCTAGACTTCAAACGGTTGGGGTTTGTTCTGCTGCAGCAGCTTCTCCCCTCTCCTCCTCATGATTTATCATCGGTCTCAGAAGGGCCGCTCAACACCTCCTCCCCTTCTTCTCCTTTACAACCGCTAAGTCCTCCTCAAGACCTCCACCCGACCAAAGCAGACAAAACTCCTGACACCATAAGTGCCTCCACTGTTTCCTCAGCATCCATGGAGCAAATCAGTCGACACTGTCAGACGCTGGCTGGTCTGAGGAGGAGGAAGTCTGCTGTACCTCCTGCTGCAAGGAAACTTTGCCTGAACAAAAGAGAAATGAGGAGTGATGATAAAGCCCCTGCTTCTCCTCCTTTTTCACCTGAAGGCTCCGCCTCCTTTCAGGAAATGGGTGATGATGCCGTCATAGTTAATAACGAAGAGGAAAGGGAAGAAGAGGTGGAGGAGGAGAGTGACCTCCTCCTGGCTCTGTCTGAATCGTCACCCAGTGCGGCAGGAAGTATTGCCCACGAGGACGACCTGTCCGATCCGAAGGAGGCGGAGTCAGAAAGTGAACAAGAAGTGACCGTGGTCCACTCTGAAGCAGTAGAAGAAGAAAAAGATAACGAAGGGGCATCTTCAGATGACTCCAGAGCATCTGTCATGCAGCTGCAGGTCAGATATGTAGATGTTTTTATATTCACGTTAATTAAATTTGCAGCTGCTTCCAGACTGTTTATAACAGCAACAGTTTCAGGTTGAAATGCTTTATTTATTTAAATAAACTAAAACATGTTTAATTCATTCAGAAACAAAAAAGGACAAGGACTTTTACATAATTTTTATCTTGCTAAATGCCTGCAGGTTTAAAAAAAAAAAGTTTTTAGAATTAATTGTTTTAAATGTACATTAATGTCCAATAAGCTCTGAGTTTTTGACAAATCAAGCTGTGAAAAAATTAGATGGAGAATAAAAACATGTTTTCAGTTTCATGTTTCTGAAACATCTATGTTTTAATCCACATTGTTTTCAGACCTTGGATTTTTCACAATAAAATTGATTAACGCATGAACTGGGAATAAAAAACGTTGAATTGTTATAAATATAAACTAATAATTAAAATGTGTGTTTTTAGGAACTGCTGTCGTCAGATGAAACTGGAGATGATGAAGATGATCAGAGGGAGTCGGAGGACACGGTGTTTGCTCAGGATTATCTTCACAGAGTAAGAACACACAACAATAATTATTTTTACAAGCATCACCTTTTATTTTTTATTTTCCTACATTTAAAAGTTAGTCACTTTATTTCTTCTTTGTGTAGTTTTTGCACCTTCACCTCAGTTGGAGATTCATAAAAAAGTAGGGCTTAGATAAAAAAAATATTTAAACTGGTTACAAAAGTTGTTGGTTTTCTGAAACGTCAAAAACATTATTGGCTTTTTTAGAGGTTGTTTCATTTTGTAACCAATTCAAAAAGGTGGTTTCACCTCAAGAAACATTTAATTATTTTGTGCCCCCACATTGTCCCTGCCCATCATTAACATTTAGATTTTTCCACCAGTCCACAGTACAGATGTTTCCACAGTGTTGGGTTGTATTTCCTGTGCAGGTATGTGAAGCGGTGAAGGGGTGCTCAGGCCTTTCAAAGCAGCTGTTGCACATTTTGGATGAATTTTCAGCAGCGGGGCCTTCAGGGGCATCAGGGACTTTGGAGGTTTTGTACAACAGACTGAGTTCTGTCCTACAGCCGTGGCCTCAGCTGCTCAAAGACTTTGCTGCCTTCCTCAACAGAAGACAGGCTCGAAGTTGTGGACTGGTGGGTGACGTTACACTGACATCACAACGACTGTGATTTATCTTGGCTAAATCTTCTTCTCTTGTCAGCTGTTGGAGCAGCAGCTGTTTGAACGCAGCAGGCGGTTTCTCAAGCGACTGGGGCAGAACCTGGGAGAGAACTCCTCCCTCTACCAGCAGGTGGTTTCTGTCCTGCAGGGAAGCTCCGCCCCCTCATCAGAAGACATTGACAAGGTAGATATTTACCTTTGACCCACCTTTAGCACTAAGTTTGTGTTTAAGTCAAGTGTAAAATGGCTTCATTTAGGCCTGTCCCAATAAACAATAAATCAATTAATCGCATGTTTTCTTTAAAATCCATTTAACCATCCAAAATCACATTTTTGGATCGTTAAAAGCAGCTAAGCTAACAAGCCGACCTCGGGGGGAAAAAACCTCCATCTTGTCGAAGCTCCAAAATTCACGGTTGAAACCTGTGCCTTTGTGTAAAAAGTTGTTTTTCTCTGCAAAAAGAAGCTGAGAACTTGTTTACTGATTTTTTTATTGAAAGCTTTGTGTGAAAAAGGCTATGCTAAAGAGCTCAAACCACACCGAGCATCTGCCATTTTGAGAACCAAAAAAAATGGACAGCTCATGTCACATCAAGGGACCTCCCTCCCATTTTTCTTAAGGAGACACGCTGCTCACTCCCTCACTAGCCATCCTTCTGTTCAAACAGTTGTATACTGCCATCCGGTGGTTAAAAAAAGGTACTACACTCAAAACAAATTAACCAATATTTTCTAAAATTTGACAGTAATGACTCATTATTGTCAAATTTCGAACAATATTATCGTTTATAGCAATAATTTCTGAGAAACAATCGCCCAGCAAAATTTGTTATCGTGACAGGCCTAGCTTCATTTATTGAACTTAATATATTTAAAATGTACACAAAATTACATTCATTATTAAACTATTTCATGTGTTTGTTACTGTATTGTAGGTTAGAAGTGTTCACTGTGTTTCTGCTCTCAGGTCTCGTCTCTGCTCAGACAACACCCAGACCTGCAGGAAGAGGTCCAAGAGTTCTTCCAGCAGCTTCATACCTGCTCCTCGCCTGAAACAACCAGCTCTATGAAACCTAAATTGGACTCGGCTTCCCAGAATCCTCATGACAAGCACAGAAAGACCGTCAGTACTCACAAAGGAAGTGGCAGCGAGGGAGAGGGGGAGCAACAAACTGTCTGTGCCAAAAACATCGCAGTGACATCCAACGGCAAGAAGGTCGTCGTCTGGACACGGTCAGAACAAAATATGCACACAGTGACAAACTCGCTTTTAATAAAACATCATAAATACAGTAATAGGGTGTAAGTTTTTTTTTTCCTTTCTTTTCAAAACATTTGATGCTCCCATAGCTCATTAGAGCCATGCAGTTGTCCTTGAATCAGCAGACTAGATCCTCCTAATGATTGATTGATTGATTGATTGATTGATTTTTATTGTCAATTCTGCATATGTACAGGACATACATAGAAATTGAAATTGCGTTACACTCCTACTCAAATTGCAGCAAACAACAACATTAGCAAAAATAAACTAACACAACTAGTTATATAAAAAAGTATAAAAAAATATAAAAGTGAACAGCAGCAGGACCTCTGATGCAACGTGCTCAATAGTGACTAACAGGAGACAAAGGGACGCTGACTGAAGACAATAACATGATGAGAGGTAGATAATGGATGTGCAAGGCCAGAGTAAACAATAGTGCAATATAAAGTATAAACCTGAGAAACTTAGTAAAGTGAAGGTGTGCATACCGGTTCTATATAGTCACAGTTATGTACTGATGAGGTGATTAAGTGGAAATGACAATACCAGAATTACCAGAATAAAGAATAAACAGGACGAGTTGATCATAACAGTAGTGCAAAATATAATGCAATAAACAGTAGAGTGAGCTTGTAGGCTGTTAAAGTGACCGATTCATGAACTATTCATAAAACTAAATAAATGTCCCAGAGCAGTTTTGAAGGGGGGGGGGGGGGG